GACACTTCTGGCATTCGGAAAAAAACTGGGTTGTCATCTATAAAGTCACTGTTTCTGTTGAATGACAAAGCTCTACCTGCTGGTTGGTGTAGCTTCGGACTTTTGAACTGATGGCTCGCAGAAACCTAGCAAGCAGTCTGCAAATCGTTGCCAAATGTATTGTATTATGTTCTGTCTATTATGAGGTTTGAGTTTCTGGCCCGTGATGATCCTGTTGTACATTTTCTGGGCCCCTGAGTGAAGTTAGTTTAAAAGCCCTGGCGTGGCTAATGGGTTCAAGTGGTTTTAGTACCTAGGCAACAGCAGATAGAAAATGTGTTACAGAAGTTAAATGGAGAATAGCCTAAGTAAAAGCAGTATTTCAAAATAAGGAATATTTTACCAATACAGTTTTTAAGAACTATTTTGAGTCAATTTTGATGTATGGAAGCGAATCATGGACAGTCAATGGATTAGTGAGAAGTTAAATGGAGGCTGCAGAAATGTGGTTTATAGAAGAATGAGATAATACTGGACCGAAAAGAGTAACACTTAATGAAGTTATCTGATAAAAACATAATTTACAAAGTGAACCGGTTACTCATATCAACTCATACCAACTAGTTCTATCTCGTTTTACCCATCTGTGTAGCTTCACCCCTACTTCACTTTTCCAGATGTGTTTTTTTTATTTTTTATTTTCTTTAAAACTTCTGTCGGAAAATTTATATTACCTTTCATTATAATGCTAATGTAGTGCTGCATTTATTTCTATAAAGTCAAAGATTTTAAAGAATGCGACCATTCTCTGGAATTGCAATCAATAACGTGCAATATAACTGGTATATTAAAGTCATACAATTTCAGACTTGACAGTGTGGGTTATCTGTCATCACCACTTACTGCTTTTATCTTCTTATTTTTTGCGTTCACCGGCTGTAAACTCCAGCAGAAAGTTCTGGTTGTTCACTTCTAGACTTTAGTTTTATTCTAGAATTTGTGGTTTGTGTGCACATCCATTTTACAGATCTGGCTTATCTGTAGGCAGAATGTTGGTTCCTTGACTCTCAAGCAAATGCATTCTGGCTTTGAAGGAAATATCGCTAACCAGTCAACTATATTAGGACATGATTATTAGGTGCCAGTGGGTCTTTTCTTTCTGTTTCCCATAATGGGGTCCCGGAACCCACATGGAGAAGTGCATTTATACATTTTTTATCTGAATAATGTGAGCGAGCTACTGTCAAAGAAACAAACACAACACATAACATCAGTGGGATACAGATTTAGCGCAGGTGAACAGTAACAACACCATGGATCTACACCAAACACTATAAATAAAGTGTTACCCTTAAGTCTACTATTGAAAATACTTGAGGACATAAGCTAGGAGAAAAAAAAAAGAGGATGTCAAAGTAACAAACATATCGCACAACATCAGTGGGATGTAGATTTAGGACAGCTGAAGAGAACTGATTGCCCACATCAGAAAGAGACAATTTACATTCTTTGGTCAAGTTATGAGAAGGAGAACAGTAGAGTACATCGTGACAGTAGAAACTGGGGGGGGGGGGGGGAGAGGCAGAGGGAGACCGATGGAGAAAAGATGCTGGATAATATGGCATCATAGTGTGGGGGATCATCTGTGTCAGAGTTGATTGTAAGTACTCGAGACAGAAGGCTGTGACTAGACAGGACTACCAACACCACATGGCATGGACTTTAACTCTTTGAGTCCCAAGGAACGCATCATACGTTCATAGGTTCTCGCCTAGAGGCCCAATGAAGGCAAGATGCACCGATTGTACATCTCTTTTGACTACCCCTTGAGCCTCTGATGCTAAACCCCCTGGGACTCAGAGTTAAGACAAAGAAGAAACAGCACTCAATGTGAGAAAATATTTTGCATCTGTAAGTGAAGTAAAAATAAATTCAATTTTTTCACTGTTTTTGCCATTACACAACCCTTGCTTGTTTCCTCCTTTCAAATTAAATGCCTCAAAACAAAGAAGAAGAAAATAAAATGTCTTTATTATACTTAGGTTGCAACTCACATTTATATCTTTAATATAATATCATAAATTAAATTGAGTCGAGTATACATGGACACTGAAAATTCTTTGTTAGAGAAATGTTTACTTTACTGGCATTCAAAAACAATTTACTGAGTTCTGCAGGGTTGAATTTTAAACAAAACATTTCTCAATAACACCTACTGGAAAGTCAAGACTAAATTAAACAAAACATTTCTCAATAACACCTACTGGAAAGTCAAGACTAAATTAAACAAAATATTTCTCAATAACACCTACTGGAAAGTCAAGACTAAATTAAACAAAAAGAAAACAAAAGAAGTGAAGGATTAAACTGAACACTTAGTAAATTTATTACAATTCGATCTTTCTCAGGCAATTTCTATGGAGAAGAATAAATTAACAAAGGCAATACTTGTGCTTAAATTCTAATTCTCATACACCCTACACACATTTCCCCGGCTTTCAAGCCAATGTTTAAACTTTAGCCAGCAACTGCATACTGAAACATCTGACATATTTTAACTTTTCTATTTAACTGTAGCCCATCAGATGCACACTACAGTAACATTTGATTAAAATTAAGCAAAAAACTGAATTCTTTATAACTGAAATAATAAAGTCAATGATTCTAAGCATTTCAGTTGAGGATTCTTCATTATCTACTTCATTTTATTTAACTGTTTCAACTACCTGATGAGATACAGCTAAAGAAGCCAGCCAAAACATTGTGTAATCTGTTTTTTGTCTCCTGTGTTCAAATTTACAATGGGAAAACATTGCTGTGATATTTTACTTTCTTCATTCATTCGTAAAACAGTTTTCTGATAAATAACATAGCAGTCAGAGAAGGCACTTTTAACTCTCCAGGGTTTGCAATTACACAAATGTTTCAGTGCAATTTCCTGTAAATCATCTGTGAAAAAAAGGTAACGAGGTAAAGAACTAGCCTCACCATCTCATATCTTGTGGAATGTACGACTGCTAGATAAGATACTTCACATCTCAACATAATTATCTGATAGGGGACTATCACGTTCCTTTAGTGTTATAACTAAACATAATTTTACATTCTGCAACTTCCAGATGAAAAAAATTTCTCTCAGCTTTCAATACAACAAAATATTTTTGTAACACTTCCTGTGCATGTAGTACTAATTTTATGCAATGATGGCTTGGCCCCTTACAAACACATGATGACCACACAGTATCTGTCAACAGATCTATCATACAGGACCTTCTTTAGAGATCAACATTTGCTATGTCTTTATTCCATCATGAGTCCAAAATAGGATGGTACACTTAAAGCCTCCACCAGTGTTTCAGAATCTGTCTTGCAGGGTCACATCTGAGTACCTTATTTCTTCTCTCTTCCTGCTTTTTCTTCATCTCTCTTTTACCTTAATTTATTGTAAACTGTCTTTACTACATGCATTTACCACTTTTCATGACACTGGGCATGTGTGTGTGTGGGGGATGAACAACGAGAACTTTCTGCCGGAGTTTACAGCCGTTGATCACGGAGAAGAAAAAGAAATATAAGATTTCTCAATCTGTTTTTCTAAACTATTACAATAATATTCCCTATTTACCTGTCTGTCTAAATACACATATAATACCTATTTATCTTCACCACTAACAACAACTAAACAATGATTAATGTCAATATAATAATCTGTGGTCGGGTCAGTATATGCTGCTGAGCTAGGCTACGTTTAGGGACCTTTTCACAGCAGTGAGAACATTTTTAATCTGTGGCAGTGCAAGGTCTTCCAAAGTTTTGGCATAGGGCATGGGCACATCAGCTCCTGTCACTCGGAGAATTGGGGCATCAAGGTAGTTGAAAGCCGAACCTGGGAAAGAAAACAAGATGTGATTAATAATAATACATTTAAAAAATATGAAGCCCGGCAGATTTATGGGAAAAATAATATTAAAGTCTCTGAACGAGAGAGGAAAGTTATGGTTGTTCGTTCAGCCAACTCTGGAATTCAGTCTTGTTCCAGAAACTGAGTGTTGCACACATCCATTTTATAGATCTGAAATATCTGTACCAACTTCGAAGGAAGCCCCCAGTTAGTTGACTCTTACGACATGCTTGCTGGGGAGGCAGTGGGTCCATTCTTGTTTTCCCCACAATGGACCCACACTGAGAGAATAAATGTTTATGAAATTTAAAATTGTGTGTAATATCTACAACAAAGGTTGGCGGCAGTGCTCCCCACTTCCATTTTTAAAAATATTCTGTGGCAAGCAGCTAGTCTCTTCCATGACTATAGTACCACAGAAAGTGGCCCATTCAAGAAGATTAAAATAAACTGTCCATCGTAGAAATCTAACCCAATTACTTTAAGGGTTGTGAATGCATTCACTAACCTTTAGGCCAATAACACAGGCGGTCCCTGTGGCAAAGTAGTTGGGCTGTTTGCCTCACATTCTGAAGGTTATGGGTTCAGCTTCGGACTATGCCCTTTGTGCGTAAATGTGTCAATTATTTCTGAAAATCTTGAGGGATGGAGGGTCATCACTCGAGCTACAGTTTCAGGCTTCGTGGGACATTCACAGTAAATGAGCAGCTGCTGTATGGAGCAAGACCCAAGACTAAGTCACACCAAGATAAACCTACCAGAATTTTTGAAATGGAGATGAAATATTGTTGAATGTTAAATTAAGAATCAACATCACAGCACTCTGGGAAACCCCCATAATGCTCCATCCACATCTTCAGCAGCAAACGGAGAGTTGCAATTCCGATGGCACCAGTAACTTTCTGATTTTAAATGCGCCTCGCCTTTCCCCTGAGTGCTGAACGTCTGCCAGATCCCCTGGTAACTCCTCGCAGCGCCATTTCTCCTCAGACCATAATGATCTATCTGTGCCTCAGCACTGTTCACTCACTCCCAAAGGGCCCTCACAATATCTTGCTCGTCATTCATCAATTCATTGTTAATTCGAAGATTAAATAGAAAAACTTGTATATGAACATACTTTCCATAATCCTGGCTACAATCTCTGATCCAATGCCACACTGAGGCCATCCACCCTCCACAGTCACCAGATGGTTGGTCTTCATTACAGATTTAATAATTGCTTCATCATCGAGAGGTCTCAATGTTCTCAAGTTAATCACCTGAAAGAAATATGAGCATATTTAATTTTAAATAAAAATGCATTCATCATTGGATGGTTATTTTCACAGAAACGGAGAACATTAATATAACCAATGATAAAGAATACTGAACAAATACAAGAATATTTACAGAAGATGATTGATGTGAAACTGAAATATTATTAACAAGTGAAGTAATTGAAATTAGATCAAAATCTATTGTTATAACTGTTCCTTGCTGCTCGAGCAGATGCTCTCTGACTTCAAAGGAAGCTCACAATTTGACTTATGACATGCTTTTTCGGGTAGGCAGTGGGTCTGTTTTTGTTTTCCCCACAACGAGGCCTCGGGAACCCATACGGTAATTGAGATAAGATCACAGATAGAAGTATTTGAAATCCTGATCCTAGGAAAAAATGTAATATATCCTGCGTAAGAAACATGCAAAAATAGCAGTCGATGACAAGGAAACAAAACGATCTGAGAGAAATTACAGCCACTGAAAAATAACACTGCTGCTTATCGCCATCTTAAAAACGGAAGTCTGCTTAGAGAGGTAACTATGCCAAGTCTAGTGAATCAAGAAACAATGGCAGAAGATGGCAAAAGACAGGAGTTAGTGTGAGTTTGTTGAGGTTCTATGCTGCAATCAGAGATGATAAACATAAACAAGAATGTATCTTTACTGAGGTTGCTCAAGGTGTTACAAACAAGGCACTGATATTTATAGCAGAAAAAGAGCAAGAGGCAGCAGCAAGGATGGACAATTTGAATATCAGAGGCAACAACACTTTCCTATACAGTTCTCTTCAGGATGCTCTTCAAAAATTGCATTGAAAATCATAAAACAGAATGCACAAAGTAAAGATTAATGTTACGCTTCAGATTTAGAGTGAAACTACATTTGGTGATCAAAAATTTCTTTAGATGCATACAGAATAAAGATGACTTACCTCGCACTCAATGCCTATCCCTGCCAACTCATTCGCTGCCTCTATACACAGTCCTACTGGTTTGGAATGAGCCACTAATGTAATATGCTTTCCTGTAACATTCCAAGATTCAATGATACACACATCAGAATAAACCATTAAAAGAAAGCAGGTCGAACAATGTAACAACAGCAAAGTTTCCATCCATATTTCATAGTTGTAGGTTTAGGAATATGACAGTTATTTAGTTGCATATCTTTTACAGGAAGTTGCAGAACCAATCACCAGCCTTTTTTGGCTGTTGTGGTTTTACTAGGCAAATTTTACATCCAGCAGTTTGCCACTGCTTTCTGGATGGTCGGCTTCTCGATACCACTGTCAAAATCAACACAAGGCACAAAGCCAGCAGCTGAGATTGAACCTGGCACTATGAAGTCATATGACAGTACTGGCTAATAAAGACAACTAGATATGTGCAAAAGTATATTCAATCCTTCAGCAAAGTACTGTCATTTGTATGTGGCAGATTCAAATTCTTGTGTAGTCACTATAGCTTTCAAATTTTTTTTATGTTCTCTAATGTGTTTTCTAACCTCTTGTTCTTTTTTTCTACCTCTCCCATCTGCACTTTTCGATATCATTGATGGAACCCAGGCTAGAACCTTTGGCTACTCTTATTAACATGTCTCTTATAAGTTTATCTTGGACATCCTTATTTCCTAAATCCAGTTGTTTCCTATTTCAGTACCTGTCTGGTCGACAAATACATGCCAATTTGTTTCCCATACTGAGATGGTAAGGGATCATCACTTCAAGTGCGTATAGGGATGCTTTAAAAAAATAATGTCTCCATCTATAAATTATACAAGCACATTCTCAACACAGTGAACAAACTCTGTAGCAATGTTAAAGATATGTGAATACCAGAATCACAGGTGCTATACATTTTTATTTTTTTATACTTTTTTTTAAATTTTATTTTTAAATTAGTCTGAACAGAGGCTAAAGAGTCTAATATTTTGATTTTGCAAATTAATTTAGATTTTTAATCAGAATATAGGCACTCTTGCCTTTACCAAAGAAAGATATATCTGAAACGTTCACTTTCGAGATGGCACCTGATGGCCACTGCAACAATTAAAAAATAAAAATATATCAGGATGTATTAACTTAATACATCCTGATATATTTTTATTTTTGTTGTGATATTTGTGCATTTCCTCAGACACATCTGACTACATCAAGCATGTGTTGACCAGGTTAATTTTCTGGATAATTTTGTGGAACTGAGACATGTGGCTTTATCTGTGTGATTTTCTCTGTCCCCTTATCTACAGATCATGAGAATTTCCCGCTATCCAAGGAGGCTTCCATAAATGCAGAGCTAACATGTTCCGCTAAGCAAACTTTACCCGTGTTCCAAATGAGCTTCGATAGACATTTTCACCCATGCACTGGGGGTGGGGTGATGTGAGCCAGACTGGACACTACATCTCTATAGATCCTCTGCCAACTCGGTTCAGGTCACAAAGGTGAGCCCTTATCTGTGGCGCACTCCTTATAAACATCACAACGGCCTTAACCTTTGACTCAAGCCTGTGATCAATATCACCGTATCACGTGTCTCCTGTTTAATAAGCTAACTGCTCAACCACATTGAATCATCATCAGGGAACGGGTCGCCCACTGGCTCGCCAGTAGATAATTTCCTAACCGGTAAGGACAGTATTTGGGTCTGTCTCCTCTTACCGCATCAACACTACAGGAGTCCGTTTCAGAACCTTTGGTGGCGCGCAATGCTAAGCAATTTTAAATGGTGCACATATAACCTAGTCACAATTATAACCTAAAGCTCCCCCTTCAGCTATGCTGGCTGAATGTAATGATTTTTTTTTTAAGCAAAGCAAAGGCAACTACCCAGAATTTTTCAAAATAATTCTGTACCATCTCCACAATGAAGGTTGGTACAGTGCACCACAGTTGTCTTTAGGAATATTACATGGTTAAAATCCACAAACTTGTCCACAGTGCAACTTGTACCAGTGTATGAAAACCACAAAAACTGATTTTGTTTTCCCCGTCCCAGAGGGAAACAAACCCCAGCACTCCAGGGTGATGAAATTGTTATCGACATTTCTTAAACTCTAAGCCACAATAAAAGTAAAGTAAGTAAAGGCACTTTGCCACTCCTTAAGGCTTATTGGGCACATAGGGCTAGACCTATATTTTACAGACTAATCGCCACTCAGTGGGTGATGTGGTCAAGATCCCGCCGTCTAAGCCATAGGGCCGCACTATCTGGCAATTAAACAATGCAAATACAATGGCTCCTAAGGATAAAGAGAAGGAAAAAACATCAATCTTACCTTGTCTCTCTACTTTACTTTTTCCAATTGGAAGTAGAAAATCTTTAGACATGACTTCATCGGAGACATCAAAGTTGACACCATACATTAGCTCATTTTCCAAGAACACAACTGTTGGTGATAAAAGTTTTAAAAATACAATAATATGTTTAAATGCTACAGATATTTTATAATTCCACTCCTTCTTGTTGTCCAGTTACCTCAGCCTAGTGGGGGAGGACATAAAGACTGACTGTGTGTTCTTCCTTTTGCACTGTTTAAGGTAGTCTTCACATCTTTAAGGTTATTTTCAGGAATTTTTTCATTCCCAAGCCTAATTTATTGTAACTTTTTTTTAAAACTGTAAGGAAATGAGCTAAAAAGTAATGCATATTCTGGTTTGAAGAAGTTCAGCAGATATTAAGGGATACAGATAAGTAAAGGACCCTTCTTCACACATTCAGGGAAACTGGACATAGAGGGCTGGACCTATATTTTTTAGACCAATCAAATGTCTCTTGGTGGGTGAAATGGTTGGTATCTTGTTGGCCATATTTACATTAAAGGTCTGTTACCTGGCTCTTATTTAAGGCAGAATGACTGTGTATTGGCTCTCCTTCAAGCTTGAGGACTGCAGTACCCCGGAAACTCAACTGTCCCAGTGAGTTGAGTTAGTAATGATGAGAGATAAAGCAGAAGAAGTAAGTTAGTCTTTCCTATTAGGCCTAGGGAGCACATAAAGGCAGAGGTCATGGCTCTCCATGTCTGGCTGTTTGTTGCCACCTGCTTTAGGCCTTGGATGTTTGTTAGGCCCATGATTGAGCCTTCCTTGATGATGGTTCTATGGGCTATCCTCCGAATAACGGTCCTAAATTATCGAGGCGGAAAATATACCCTAACAGGGCCTTAGTCACGTGTCAATAGCCCACTTCTGTCATCTTAAATTGAGCACTTCTGGCAACTTCCACCACCGCTCATGCGGTGTGGATTGGGGCTTAACTAGATGGCTGGGACTCACAGGCAGCAGGTACCGCATCTCCTGCAGCTTCCTTGATTTTATTTGCTCGTGAGTCCTAGCCATCTAGTTTAGCCCCTACCCACGCCGCATGAGCGATTCGGTGGCTGCGTTATAGTCCCAGGAAGTGCGCAATTGACAAGTGACTGAGTCCCTGTTAGATTATATTTTTCACCTCGATAATTTAGGGCCGCTATTCGGAGGATAGCCATTCCATGCAGAGTCTTTCTTGGTCTTCCTGGTTTTCTTTTTTTCCTTCCGGTGTCCATATGAGGGCTTGATGGGGAAGTCTTGTCTTATCCATTCTGGGTGCATGGCTGATGTAGTTCCAGCGGAGCTTTCTTATAAAACTGAATACATTGTAGATGCAGAAGAACAGTACAAAACATAAATATTTATTGCTATTCCATCTGTAGTGTTGGCTCTGTATGTTGCTGTTGACTTGTCTAAGGGGTAATTCCTCAGCTGATGTACCTTTCTAATCACAGAGAGTGAATCGGATAGTTACATCACATTACCTTGAATTGAAAACAACATTCGCTCCCATTTGACATCACTGGAACACAACAGGCATTCACCTTCAGTTATTACAATCAGCAACTTTCTCAACCTGTCAGCCATTCTTGTCCCTCTTTGCCAGGTACTATTCATGCAGGCATTTGATTCATTCAGACAATCAGCTTTCTCTTGCTGTCCCCCACAAAATGCATGTATCCATCTCTCACATCAGCCTATTCCCACAGGATTTCCGACCATAATTTACTTATCCCAATACCCGTTCACACGTATTTTTCATGAATCAGTCTCACCTTCTGATGAGTCTTTTCCTAGCTGGCCTCTGATTTCATAACCTGCCGCCTAGGAAACCCCTTCTAACTTCATGGGATTTCCCACTCATTACAAACTGGTTTCAGTCCTAGACTTCTAAATTTTTCATGTATAATTTTTTCTTTTTTTCTTGTTACTCCTCATATCATCACACAATGAACCAACGAACAAATAAACAAACTTTATTTTCAAAGGGTTGAGAATTGGGCACACAGGCCGTCTTACATTCTGCCCTTCTGGCCTCAGAAAAGGAGGGGGGGGGGGGGTAGTAAAGGCACTCAACTTATGTTGTTTACCATCGTGTGCAACTCACATAAGTCTCCCTACCGTATTCACCCCAAGCTTTAACTGTCTTCTCCATTTCTTTACTTTTTAAAAAAAATCATTCCCTTTTCTCTGACCCTGTTGGTTCCAATGTAAGGACATTTTAATTAAATGATTATCAGGTTATACTAACTCAAAATTAGTTGGGTGAAGGAAAGATAGAAAATACTATCAAAAAATTGATCTAAATAAAAATGTAAACAAATTAGGAACCATGAGAAGAGATGTTTGGAAGCTGTTGTGGGAGTGACCAGAAGAGATCAAATCAGGAATAAAGTTACAAAAAAAATTTTTTTTAAAGTTTGCACAGAACCAATACTAAACTACAAATAAAGAAAGGCAGCAAGTTTTCTTGTCTGTGGTTTGTGTGTGTGTGTGTAAGTGGTTTCCCAATTAGAGAGAATGATGTCATGCTATGCAAGTCACAACCAAAACACTCCTTCTTCTTAGTGTTTACCAGCTGGAAAGTTCTGGTTATTTGACCACTTTTGGATTTGTCTTGCTGCAGAACTTGAGTTTTGCTTGCACATTTGTTTCACAGATCTGGCTTATTTGTATGCAGGAGCCGCTGTGGTGTAGTGGCTAGAAGCTCATGGGTTCAAATCCGAATGGTGCTGAACTTTTTCAAAAATTACAGTGGCTTCCAGGTCGACCCAGCCTTAAATGGGTACCAGGTAAATGGCCTGGGAAGTAAAGGTGGCTGGTGTGATGCAGACTACATCAATCACCAAGGGAGACTGTGTGGTCTCGAGGCATGGCGTCCACCTCTAGTGCTGGAGGTTCTGGGTTCAAGCCCTGGTGAAGGCTAGGATTTTTTCATGTGGACTTCTAGTAATTTACCCTGGTCTCTGGATAGTAAGATCGGATGCCTGTGTGTATTACTGCGCATGTAAAAAAAATTCTTGACAATTAGAAATAGAAAAGAGAAGCCTAACGGCCATGCCCGGGAAAAAAATACTGAGTTAAAAATCTACCCAAGGTATTTCAGGACCCTTGCCAGTGATATTGAGTTCTTGCACTGCGCTGAGATTCTTCGGACTCAGGCTTTAGTGAGAAGTAGAACGGAGCAACTAATTGGTTACTACCCTTGTGCCATGATGTTGATCCGTTGTCTAAAGCTAACCCCACCAAGTGCAGATTGATCTATAAAATATGTGTCTAGCCTTACATGCCCAATACACCTGAAGGTGTGAAAAGTGGTCCTTTTATTTATATGCAGACTGTTGGATCCTGGCCTCTCAGGCACTTAAAGGAAACGCCCCTAATTAGTAGACCTTTGTAGTAGTAGTAGATTTTTACCCCACTAGGACATCACACAAGCGATAAACACGCAATGACACAAAGTGCCACCATGTGGATGAGGATCACCATGGAGAGGTCCCAGAAACCGCGTTCAGCCATTAGACCATATTTATGGTCAGGCTATATACTGACAAGAGCCAGGGTGGGGTTTCAAATAACGAAAAATTGCACCTCACAAGGAGATAACTTGAATAATTTTACAGACCTTTGTGACATGGGAGACAGTGAGTTTATTCCTTTTTCTACACCCACAATGGGGCCCCAAACCAACATGGAGAAGACCAAACAAGATTGAAAAACTCTACAATAGTACCATAAGTCTACATACAGTCAAGGCAGCCAGAACAGCAAACAATTAATATTGTGCATCTCCCTTTACACCTGAAGTGATAACAGAGGAAGTAAGGAAAAAGAAGAATGTAAACTTTCAACATTATCTCCCTTTACACCTGAAGTGATAACAGAGGGAGTACAGAAGAAGAAGAATGTAAACTTTCAACATTATCTCCCTTCACACCTGAAGTGATAACAGAGGGAGTAAAGAAGAAGATGAATATAAACTTTCAACATTGGTCAGTGTGCTCAATGAAACATCACGATGATCTGGTATTCTATTCCCAACAGTAGCAAGACTCGATTTACTTACATCAAAAATCATGTTTCTTCTTTTACACCTGAAGTGATAACAGAAGAAGGAAGGAAAAAGAAGAATGTCAACTTTCAAAATTGGTCAGTGTGCTCAATGAAACATCACGATGATCTGGGATTCTAATTCCAAATAGTAGCAGGACTCGATTCGCTTAGACCAACACAGACCTGGCCTCATCAATAGATTTCAGATACTGAATGAACAAAACCGGTGGCAGCTCCATATCACCTAGTGTATGTGAACAGCTATTATTTCACACAACTACAGTGTTATGTACGACGGAATTACAAACACATTTTCCATTCCTCTTTCGCCAAACAAATTAAAGCCATTCAGGACTGAGAAACACAGCATTAGAGTTTCATGCAGTTAGCATTCATAACCCAACTGCCTTCACTAGTTTAGGAGAAAAAAGAAACCTGCAAAGACACAGCAAAAGAGTTGCATGCAGTCACTATTTCATAACTTAACTGCTTCAACCAAGTTCAGGGACAATAAGGACTTGCTCCACCTGGCAGCCATGGAAATAGGCCACCTCCCAAAAGTCTGGCCAGGAGAGTGGGGATCGAAGACAAAACAAACCTGGTTCAAAGTGCTGTGCTAACTTCTGTGAAAGCAACCTGGAAAGGCTAACCTGGTCATCAAATATCAGAAAGAACAGGCTCAAGTAACAGACGGAGCAACAACAAAAACTGAACCAATGCAGAAAAAGATGTATCAGTCAAAAGGTATCTGAAGTAACTGAATGAGAAAGTAAGCATGCATATGTAATAATACTAATTTAGCACTCACTTGCCTAAACAACACTTATACAATTTTTCCAGCAAATGTATTCAGTTTTAAAATTCACAAAGGGAAAACATTGTTCTGAATAACTTATAGTTTAGGCCACTTCTTCTTCAGTATTGTGAGACCTTGATGTTTACTGCCGCAGATATCACCTGCCTCTATTAAACGCCTTGATTCACCTTCTCTCCTAGAGTTTGTAGACTTGGCCCTTGTAGATTTTTATTGTAAATAATATAATAGTTTTGCCAGTTGATGTATTTATTTAAAACAATAATTTAACCTATGGGTGTCCCATATGTTTCCATACATAGGAACGATAAACATAGGTCGGGATGGTCATGTGAAGTGGCCTCCCAGATCCTATCCCACTTGAATTTTTGTTTTTTGGGGGCATCCGAAGGGTGGTGTATCAAGAAAAAAATACATTACATAAATAATCTCAAGAAACGTGTCACCACTGCCATTACAAGTATAACTACAGCTGTGCTTATACATATTCTTCAGCAATGAAGGAAGGACATTGAAATATGTTTTTAAAACAATGTTAGTCGTGTAGAATATAATACATAAATAAAAATGGTTTTCATTACGTAGCAATGCAAAGATTCTTCTTCTTAAAGTCCACGCCGTGTGGCGTTGGTAGTCATGTCTATCCACAACTTTCTGTCTTGTGTACTTTCAAACAACTCTGACACAAAAGATCTTCCATGCCATAATGTCAACCATCTAGCATTTGTTCTCTCGGTCTCCCTCTGCCTCTTCTTCCTTCCAACTTTCCTACAGTCGGGATGCACTCCAGTTTTCTTCTTTTCATCACATGACCAAAGAATGAAAATTATCTCTTTCTGATGTGAGCAATCAATTCTCTTTGTGAGTCAGTTTTCTTCAAGATGTCTTCATTACTTTTTATCTGTCCAGGATATTCTCATTATTTGTCTATAAAACCACATCTCTACAGCTTCCAAATAAGTTTTCACTAATTAACTAACTGTCCATAGTTCACATCCATATATCAATATAGGATTTATATAGCTTTTAAGAATTCTCTTTCTCATCTCAATTAACAAAGAAAGATTGCAAAAATATTCTTCATTTTGTAAAATGCTGCATTTGCTTGAGATATTCTACATTTAACTTCTTTAATACATCTTCCGAACTGTTACTCAAACTCCTTTCTTAGAGTACTGTTATACTAACTCATTTGACAAAAACATTCATTACTTGAAGTCACAATTTCTTAGAGCAGAATCATGTAAAGTAATTCTCACTTGGTACAAAAAAGAGTTCAAAGCAAAAATTTAAGATGAAGATAAAATATAAACAACAAAGAACAAACTGAACTAGTCTCAAGTGTTCGCTCTTGAAAGCTGACAAGTTGGGCTGTGGTTTTCAGCTTGGCTGTGACATCTACACCTTGCAGCCAAACTCTCATCCGATTTCAGCAAACTCTTAACTAGCTGCTTTTTACAACATGCTTGTGGATATTCCCTTGCCCCACCCAAATGAGGCCCCTGGAAGGCCCGCATGGAACCGAACTAGGAACCATCAACAATTTTTACCTGGATCAGGATCCCTGATGGCAGACTTGAGCAATCCTTTACAGTCCTCTGCAGAGTATGGAGAGATGACTTTCAGGCCCGGCACCTGGCTGTACCAGGCTCCAAAACACTGTGAGTGCTGGGCGCCCACACCTGCAGCTGCTCCATTAGGTCCCCGAAACACAATAGGCACTGGAACCTGGTTAGTAAATGTCACCAAATAGTTCAATGAAACCTTCATATTCGATTATGAAATCTCCAGCGTGGTCCAGGTAAGCATGAGATAGTTCCTTTTTGTGTATGTTCTGTTTTTGTTATTGTTCTGCTGATGAAGGCTAATCACCACAACATTCTCTATTTATTTATTGTTATTGGTTTTTGTAAAACTGACACAAAATTTAGGGTTTTCTAACTATTTTCTACCCTTTCTCTTCCCTACCTTTCACAATCTTTTTTTAGATTTAAATAAATAAGAAGATGATAGAAATATACAGCCTGACTAAATGCTGTAATAGACGCCAAGCATACATGTACAGGATGTAACAGTTTCAGACCAGAGCAGTATGTATCAGCTCTGCATCTATGGAAACCTCCTCAGATAGCAGGTAATGCTTATATTCAGCCCTTGCTTTTCCTTGGGTGGCTGATCTGGGTGAGCCTGCTCAGTGGTTCCATTTGTAGATAAGGCAGCGAAGATGATGACAACAAAGAGGCTGTGCAATATCTCAAGGAACTAAAAAGTAAAAAAGAAGGGGCTAATTGGGAAAACATTTGCCCAAAGAAATCAGCCACACACACGAATATGAAATAGTCAAAAGGATATTAAATGGAAAACAAGGTAAGCAGTGGACAGCAAACTTAGTGGAACCTTGTATCAGGAAAGGCTCTTGGAGATGTAACAGAAAACAATAAAAATAAGAGGTTAACAAAGAAAAAGATGACATTTTGCCCATTGTAAGTGTTACCAGTGTAAAAGAGGAACGCAAAAAATCATTTTAATAAACAGTAAACAATAGAAGGTTGCTTTGCTTCAAATATAATAAAGCCCGTTACACAGGTATATAAACTTAGAATATTCAACTCTGATGTCGAATCAGTACAGTTACTTGGATCAGGACAAAATGGAGAACAACTAAAGCAATCACACTAGAAACCGCTACCTGGGCAAAAACTGACGAAGAAAAAATGGCACAACAGAATTACTAATGTGGAACTTAGGGAAAGAGCTAACAGTTTAACACAGTTTCAGCAAATCAAGAGGTGAAGAAAATATGCTGGCACTAGACAAAGCATGCACTGTGGAAACCTGATAATATTAGTTAAAAAGTCACTTCACTGGAACTCACAGGACTAAAGAAATACAGGGAGACCTAAAAACATGTAAAGAAGAGAATTAAAGACAGATTAAAAATAAGGAGCTGCAGGAGACATAAACTGATAGGATGGCATTGCATGTCTTACTTAGGGTCTATGCTCCAGTGCAAGGTATAAGCCAGCAGAAGAATTACACAAGTAACTAACTACACTACCCTAAATCTACCTAAACTTACAGTCAGTGGAATTATGCACTCTAATGTACAAACAATGCAATATTACAAAGACTCAGTGTCGGATGTCATCAGTCAGATACACGCAAATGATGATCTTATGGTAATAGGTGACCTAAATGGGCATACAGGGCAGAGATGAAAAACGTGGGAGGAATATATCGGGCCACACTCAGACAACAGCAAAGTCTGCAATTACAACGGGCAGCGTATTTTAGAACTTTGTGCAGAGCATGGCCTTTATGTCACCAATAGTTTCTATCAGCATCGACTACCAAGAGGCAGGGGAAGACCAAGAAGAAGATGGATTGAAGGAGTCACGGACAACTTGAGACTTCATAACATCACAGCATATGAAGCGACAGCGCGCCCTGGCTCGGTTGCCGATCATCTGATAGACTGCGACGCCAAGCGGCACAAGCAGATTTTGACAAAAGAAGAAGAAGAAGTGAACAGTTGGTAATTTTATATTTGGCAGTGGAAAAAAAAAAAGTTGGCCACCCTACTCTAAACATTACAGCAGCATAATACAGGCTTAAGGAGCGGCTGGCCGAACGGTTAGAACGCTGGGCTCTCATTCGGGAGACCCGGGTTAAATCTTTAGTATGATTACCATATTATGGACAGACCAGAGCAAGTCATTTTCCTTCGCCTTAGAACAGGGCACAATCGACTTCGCTCCCACATGTACAACAAATTTAAGATTGGCCAATCAGCCATGTGTACTTGTGGACTGGCACCCGAAACAACAGATCACATCCTTCAAGACTGTCCCAGATTCAACGCTTTCAGGCAAAACCTTTGGCCAAAAGAGACACTTGTGGAAGTCAAACTTTACGGGCCGCTTAGTGAATTACAAAAGACAGTGAAATTCATACTAGAGACGGCTTTGCAGATATAGACAATTTATTTAATGCGAACGAAAGAAGAAGAAGAAATCTTTAGTAAGGCTGGGGATTTTTCCTGTCAGGGGGCAAAAATAAAATCCTTACCTGCACAGTCCGTGGCGACAGCACTAGCCATGCAGCCCTAAATCCGCAGGCTCAAAGACCCCACTACCTACACCACAAAAGTATAATAAAGGCAGTAACTGGCAGTTGCTTTTTTTTTTTTTTTTTTTTTATATTTGTTGGTAACAGGAGGATAAAGACAGGTGCAGTTAGCAACAGAAGATGCTGCAAGTATTTCATAGCTCTGATCCAGTGAACTGGATATTAGGAAATACTGTAATATACTGGAACCATGACAGTAAACTTACTGTTCCTGCAGACATGTAGAAAGTCTTTGCTGCAGAGTTGACGATCTGGTCAATAGCTTGCATGGAAAAGTTGAAGGTCATGAACTCACAAACTGGTTTCAGTCCCGCCTGTGTAAAACAGCAAAGATTACCATAAACAGGGATTTATTCTTTTATAAATATTCAGTGAGTCAGAAAAATGAGATATAAATGTGAAATGCAGTATGAAAATTAAATGTACTTGTTTCACATTTGGCATTTTCTTTGATTTCTCTTCAATGAGAAGTCACCCCAAAAAAAAAGGAAACATGCTGTGACAAACAGAAAGATATTTGGAAAGAGAGGTAGAGGAATACAACTAGAAAGATGTGTGACCGTCTTTCACCGGATGAAAAGGTGTCAGCAAGCAAACAGATACACTTGCTGGAGATCAAAATATGTGGAGAAGTATGACCAGAACACTAGAAGGCAATGAACTGGTGATCTATTATAAATCGGCAATGTGTGATAATTATTAAACTTAACTATTTTCTAAACAAGAAACATCAGATTGTGACGATACTTAATTAAAATATGAAATTCTTCTTCTTTCATTCGCTTGAAATAGATTATCTATATCTACAATGTTGTTTCTAGTAGAACTTTACTGTCTTTTATAATTCAGCAGCCCGTAAAGCTTGGCTTCAACCAGTTTTCATCTTGGCCAGTAGTTTTGCCTTGATATGTTATATTTGGGACAGTCTTGGAGAACATGATCAGTTGTCTCAGGTGCCAATCCACATGTGCAAACGGCTGATTCTGACTCAGGTCAAATCCTCAGTAAAGTTCTGTCGAGAGGAAACAATAAAATCTAATCTGCAGTCTATGGCAACTGCATTAGCCTTGCGACCCTAAGTCCACAGACTCAAAGACTTCCCCTGCCTACATCGCGAAAGTTGTAAATACAGGTACCAATAAAACAGCAGCAAGGAGAAAGCTAACTGGAGACATTTGTTAAAATAAATCATTTTTTTCCCCATCAGTCACAGAAAAGGAGGTAAACTAAAACACCTCCAACAGTAATAATTAACTATGTTAGGACACACAGTGTGAAAGAGACTGTCATGAATATACAACTTGCGGCACTTTTACATGTATACCTTATAAAATTATTTTTACTTTCTGTGATGGTGGGAAATACTGAGTTGTTCATGAGGAAAAAACTAATAGCCACATTACAAACTCAATGTGTGGGTAAGGAGCTCCCCCCCCCCCCCCCCCCACTGGTGGTGGTGGTAGTGGGGGAGGAGGGAATGGGGAATAGACCTACTGCCCCCTTAACAAGCATGAGGGAAAAATCGACTAGTTAGGGGTGTTTCTTTAAAGTCGTAGTGCATCTGCCTGAGAAATGATGAATCAACAGTTTGCCTACAAATAAGCCAGATCTGTAAAACTGATGTGCATGCCAAAATCAAGTTCTTGAACAGAAGTCCACAATAAAACTGTGTGATAGGGATGCATTTTCTCACTTTTATTATTCTGAAAAGCCTTAGACTGAATTCTGACATTCAAAACACTATTAAACACTACTACCAGAAATGGAATTCAATCAATAAGCCACAGCAGATATATGATCCAGACTTCACTGATGAAATCCCCCACCCCCACGCCCTCTCCTCCTCCCAATAAACATATCTGACAGGAGATTACAGCAATTTGAGTGAGTGATTGATGTTATTTCTTAACATAGCAAAAACAAAGATAATGCATACAAACAAAACTGCCATGGAGAAGGAAATATATGTTAATGAGGAAGGATTGGAAGTGGTGGAAAATTTCGAATATCTTGGGTCACTGGTTACCAACAATGGTGACACAATGAAAGAAATTAAACGGCGACTATCAATTGCTCTTCAAAGACTAAAACAACTGAATAAATTATGGAATATAAGAATATCTTGGGTAAAGAAAAGAACAAATGCATCCATACTTCAAGAGCTGAATATTGAAGAGGGTTGGCTAGTAAAGACAATAAAACAAAGAAAATTGAAATATTTTGGTCACTTGAAACGTCATGGAAGTCTAGAGAGAACAATAATGGAGGGGTATATGCCTGGGAAGAGAGGAAGAGGAAGGCCAAGGAGAAGATGGGTGCAGGATGTGGCGGATGATCTCCAGATGGGTGTATCAGACGCAGGACATCTTGCTCAGGATAGGAAGGTTTTCCGGAGGGTTGTTATGGCAGCGAGGTTCCGCGAGGGACATGCTACTGAATGAATGAATGAATGAATGATTGATGTTCAACCCCCACCAGGATGGCACAACCAGCGATAAACACCCAGTGACACAAAGCGCTACTATTTGGATGAGAACCACCCGAGCAGAAGTCCCAGAAACCTGGTTCAACCGCTCGGTTACATTAGGGTTACTGACTACAACTGGGGTGGGGCTTTAAAATAAAAAATAAAAAACTGTGTCCCATATTGGGGTGAGGTCAGCAATCTGAGCTTAAGACTCAAAGGGGAAAGACAAAGATGATGAGAATAAATCTAGCAAACAACAGACCAATATTCATAAGTGAGGAGCCACATCAAAATGTGGAGTTACACATCTATTTAGAAAAAATGAAGGATTGAGATTTAAAAAAAATTAATATGAATAACAAGAAAAGCTTCCAGAGCATAAAGAAATATGTGGAAATTAGGACTAAAGAATTTAATAAATCCATAAATATAATTTTTCCATGGGTGTTTTTTAAAGTATATAAAAGTGCATCATAAAAAGACAAAATAATTTGTAGGTACATCAAAAAAAAAAATGTGTGTGTGCACATAATAATTTTGTTTTAACTACTCTCTCTCTCTTTCTCTTATCTTTCCCTGAGGCTGCTAGCGCAAGACAAGTGATTTTAAAAAGTATTTACCATCGCAGCACCTATTGCAATACCAGCAAAGCCCATCTGTAAAACGTATACAAACAAATTAGATACATTAGATTCGCCCATCTGTAAAACATCAAAAAAGCATCAAATATACAAGTAAATGGACACTGCCGTAAGTCAGTGGCTAGCTCCCTTGCCTACCAGCCTGGAGGTCACAAGGTAAAAATCCTCACCGACCTTAAAACGGAACTGAGGTTCCAAGTTGCTCCAGGCTAAAAATATTGGCGCCTGTGGCTTAGGCCTTGCCAGGACATGTAATTCTGAAATACCCCATTTGATTCAGCTGCTGGCAATTTGGCAGCAGACTATTTTGTGTTTATTTCAACCATGGTGTAGAGTGCAGACTGGCTGGAATGCAACAGCAAACTACTTAACCCACTGACTACCAACGTCGCACGTAATGCGACGAGGCGACGTTTACTTCCTTCTGCCAACGTCACACCCTTTGCGATTTTAGCTTTGGACGCTCGCCCTCATGTTAAAATCGCGATTTTTATGATGGATTTAGTTGCAACCTCTAGCTTATTCATTTCTGTATAGTTAATTAAGGGAAATAACTTAGTAGTGCTTGAAGTAAATAATTAATGAATTTTTTTAGTTAGCTCCCATGATGGTGAGACATTGACGAAAAATTCATCATGGCGTCAAATTATCGGAACCATCGTGGTGGCCATATCTCTCCTAATTTTTCTAATGATGCATTCGATTTTCTTGATTTTGCTTCAAAAAGTGAATTTGAAGACACTTCTGAACAGTTTGATAGCTATGACTATAATAAACTTAACGAAGTGCCATTCAAAACATCGTCGACTGTTAAACGACAGTATGAAGCTTCAAAGTCAAGTATGACAAAAACAGTGTTGTCGGCTGCAAGTACTGGTGCCGCAGTTTATGATGCAGATAGTTCTTGTAAGAGTTTTCAGTCAAAGCCCACAGATTATAAAGATTTTGTGCGCGAGTCTGCACATGACGAAGATATCATTGCCGCTTTTGATTCAGAATCATCATCTGACGAGTCCGGGAAAGATGTGCCACGCCCCCCCCCCCCCAATGGTTGATGACTGGCATTGTGATTTAGAAGGCTTTCCTGGAGTACCCCCATTTACTGGCACTTTTGGTTTATTTCTGCCAGCAGGAACAAATGAACCACTGAATTTTTCTTCAGTAAAGAAATTCTGGCTGTGTTTGCTAAAAAAAAAAAAACCGTTATGCTGAGGCAAAGATTGGTGCGAAACCAGACACCTGTTTTCCTAAGAACTGGAAACACACAACCCCAAATGAAGTAACATGGTTTCTTGTACTGTTGCGTCACATGTGTTGTGAAAAAGCCGTCTATTTCAGACTACCGGAGTCTATATCCATCTATCCACTCGTCATTTGCTGCACTCTACACCATCATGTCACGGGGGCGTTTTCTATATATTGCTGTCAGATAACAGATTTGTCTGTTGCCTTTTCAGCACCATATCTACAGCCACATGATGATGATATAAAACAGTAAATCTACATATGTCTTGATATTTGTTATCTATTTAATTTGGTGCAAACAATATCAGATAGGATAAGTGATATTGAACAGTTGTGAAGCTGTGACATTTTTTGGGAGTCTGAATTATTGTCAGATAAAGGATTTTTCAGTTGCCTTTTTTGCAACAATCTACAGCCACATGATGATGATGATTATGGCAGACAAAGTAAACCCCATTTTCTGTCTTCACATTGTTCTCGGTTCAATTTTGTGCAAAAATACAAAATGTAATATATGTTTGTTGAATATTTTTGAAAAAAAATCATCACTATCAGTCTTTATTGTTGTCAGATAAAAGATTTTCAGTTGCTTTTTTTGCAACAATCTACAGCCACATGATGATGATGATGACTATGTCAGAGTAAACCTTATTTTTATTTTCTGTAAATGAGTTCTTGGTTTAATTTTGTGCAAAAAATACCAAATATTATACATTTTTGTTAAATATTTTTTGAAAATAAGACATTTTTATTAGTCTTTATTGTTGTCAGATAAAAGATTTTTCGGTTGCCTTTTTTGCTCTAATCTACAGCCACATGATGATGATGCAAAACAAAATAAACAACTTTTTTTTTCTTGAAATTTGTTCTTCATTCAGTTTGGTGCAAAAATACAAAATATTGTGAGATTATATCAAATAGTTGTGAAGCTATGGCATTTTTAGTAAACACTAAAATACGTGGTATCTGGGGAAATGCAAGGGTTAATGGGCTTGGTAGTCAGTGGGTTAATGTGACAACAGGGGAGGGGTGGAGGGTAATAAACCCATTCTTCTTCCCTCCGAACCCATACTGGGAAAAATGCAAGTCAAATAACTTCTTAGTGCTTTAGGCTTAGTGTCTGATCTCACTGTGTAAAATTAGAGACTAAAATGTTTCTTTAAAATTGATGAAAACTGAACCTAGTAACTTCTGAATCTGAAACAGACATCTTCTTCATCTCCTCTTCTCTACTACTGGAATGCCTCCCAGCGTCAGGACAGGAAGAGATATCTGGAATGGTACCTTCTGTTCGCTTCGTATAAAGTACTTTTCAGCGACTTTGATATTTCTTTTTTACTATCATCTGAGTGGTCTACCTCTGGCTGTTACCACTGTACGTATATAACACTGCTTTCTGTAGTGCTATATCTTAAGCCAATCTTGTTACACGGCCAAATCATTTGATATGTTGTCCACCAATAAAGTTCAGTATTGGTTCTATGACACTCCTCCTGATATCACTGTTCCTTAAGTTGAACCTTCCTCGTTACAGCTAGCTCAGTATGTAAACATTTCATTTCTGTCGTTACTATTGTCCTTCTGTCTTCCGAAGTCCATGTTTAACACTGAGGGCAGAGCACTGGTAAGAATATTGTGTTGTAAACAGTGTTACTTTAGTGTTCATATTAACATGCTTACATTTCAAAAGTTTTATGTGCTGACACCCTTTCAAATTCTATGCCATGACCAGCGGCTGTCAAGAATCTTTTCTCTTCCAAAGCTCATAAAACATTTAAAGACAGTCCCAAAGCAAATACTGTTGTCAGGTGTTTGTTAGGCTTTGACAAATTCTAGGCCATAAAGTGTGAGGTGTGTTGCCAAATCTCTTCTTTGTGACCCGTCCTTCCAAAACAATTTTCAGAAAGCTTGGGAAATTGTTTGTGCCCCATTTTTATGTAAATGGGTCTGAAAAAATAATCCTACTTCTGCTGTAAATTGAACATGGATCACTGTCTCGGCAGAGAAGCACCTAACCATTATACCCCTGCAGTTCGTACATAAAACTGACTTCACTCCCGATCTATGTCTACACCCTGCCAACTATGCCAATGTGTTACAATATAAAACTGACTTCAACCCTGATCTATGTCTAACCTCTATCAACAATGCCAATGAATTCCTATTTAACTTACTTTACTTTTTCCTTCCACGTATGCCGCTAAGCGTTGTGGAGAGATGCAAGTTCCTGTCATAAGCAAGGCGGGCAGCATCTGATGTTCTGAGGCCATGCTTTTGGCAGGTTTCGGAGACCCCGTCAATCCACTGTTTCCTTGGTCTTCCTCTTGCCTTATATCCTAAGCTTCTTTGGTTGAAAATTTGTGATTTTATTTGGTCATTTTTCATCCTGGTTAGATGTCCAAACCATTTCATTCTTTGATGTTCTATGTAGTCTAAACATGGTGTAGTTTTGACAGTGTTTCTAATGTCTATGTTCTTTATCCTGTCTAGTCTGGTCTTATTCGCTGCTTTTCTTAGACATTTCATTTCACAGGCTTCTATTTTTCTTTCATGGGTCTTGTTGATTGTCCATGTCTGGCACATTTCCTATTTAAAACTGACTTTAATCTATGTCTACACCATGCCAACGTACATACCTCTGTTATTGGTGTATCTACTACTCTCTTGTCTCCATACTTTTTCCACAGTCCCCTGGTGACCTAAAATAAAATACAAATTAAATTGACACACAGAAATTAATCAAAGAAAGAACACAACAATCAGAGCCAAGAAAGAAATCTCAGCCTATGGTTGCTGAACAATTGGTTAACTCTTTCAGTTACCAACAAATAATTTGTATCCCTTTATATAATGACTCCCTGTGTGAGTTCCAGGGTGAAATTTTGGTGGGGAAGAAACAGGAAATAGATCCACCTTCTCCACAAGCATGTCTAGAAGTCAACTAATTCAGGGTGTTTCCTTCACAGTCAGGGTGCATCTGCCTGAGAAACGGGCAACCAATAGTTTGCTTTAAAATATGTGAGATTGGTAAAGTGAATGTGCATGCAAAACTCAAGCACTGGAACAAGATTAAAGTCAAGAAGTGTTCGAATAACCAGAACTTTCCGCTGGAGTTTACAGCTGGTAAACAATAAGAAATCAAATTTCAGCAAACTGCAAATTAGCTGACTTTTATGATATGCATTTCAGGGGGCAGTGAGTCTATTCTTTTCCCCCAAACATGGAGGCGAAGGAACCCACAGAGGAGAAAACAGGGACATTTGAATTTAAAAAAAAAAATAAAAAAAATCAGAAACAGTGAGCTGATAAAATTAATTGCTTGAGTCTATGTTTTACTGAAGAATCTACTTCTTCAAGTTTACTGGCTGTTCTGGTTGTTCATCCACTTCTGAACTTTTTTCTTTTTCCAGAACTTGAGTTTTGTGTGCCCATCTATTTTACAGTTCTAGCTTATTTGTATGCAGACTGTTAGTTTCTCACCTCTCAAGGCAGATACACTCCAACTTCGAAGGAAAACCCCTAGTCAGTCAACTCTTGTTGACATGCTTGTTAAGATAGCAGTGAGTCTGTGTTTTTTTAACCCCCTGCATGCTCCCTACAAGTAGGCAGAACGAGGGAAAATCAGCTACCACGGCAGGCATGGGAGGCCAAAAACCAGACCACAAGGATGACCCAGGATTCTCTGGGAAGACAACATCTGACAGTTCCTGGCTGACAGGGACCTGGAAAGGGACAAAGCCATAAAAAAAACTGCTGACAGAGAAGTCTGGCAATCTCTCTGGCAAACCTCAACACCTCAAGGTAGAAGAGAAGCAACTAAGTAAGTAATATATCAAGAAGAAATTATGCTACTCAAAACAAAATGAAAATATATACAAAACAGTTCTAACTTAAAGACATATCAGAAATGCACATGTTATGAAAGTGTAAGAGGTGAAAAAAATACAGATATCATTTAAAAGTAAACAAATAATGTTCTGAAAGAAGTGAGTTAACGAACATATCATTTAAAAGTAAACAAATAATGTTCTGAAAGAAGTGAGTTAACGAACATTTCATTTAGAAGTAAACAAATAATGTTCTGAAAGAAGTGAGTTAACGAACATATCATTTAAAAGTAAACAAATAATGTTCTGAAAGAAGTGAGTTAACGAACAAAATCAGAAAGCAGAACCGGTCTAAAGTCCAGACGTGGATGAACATTCAGTTTTCTGCTTGAGTTAACGCAAAGAAGAAGATACTAGAGGCAAAAGTGAAGATATAGATAATCTATTTCTAGTGAACGAAAGAAGAAGCATGCACAGACAAAAGGACAAAATACAACTACATAAATACAAACCTTCAGAACAGTCACATAATAAAGGTGTTTGTGACACTGTTTACTTGGTATTAAAACATGTATGAAACACAACACAGTTAAATGGGTACCTTATATGCGCCATCATACTGAGCAACTTCTTCTCCAAGTATAAAGACCTTTTCATCTCGCTCCAATTCTTCATCCAAGGCAGCATTCAACGCATCACGTACTGTTAACTGACAAATATCAACATAAAAACCATTATAAATGTCATCAGTTGTTCATCAAGTGTTAACACACTTGCCACTTGTGAATGCAAAAAATTTTTCCCTTTTCCTCCTCAGCACTGGGTTGGAGTTGGTTGACAAAACCCTAAAAACATGCCCATATGTGCTGTGCTCTTGGGGTCTTGCGCAGAACAACACACAAAACGTAATTATCAGGATGTTATAATGAAGTTAGTTACACTGCATCAGATTTCAGATTTTGCTTTCTCTAGCCTTTGACTGACCTCAGTATATATGCAAGGCATCAGAAGTGTGTCCCTCTCTGGTTCCTAGTTATTTACCTGTCTGTCATATGAAACCCTATCCTATATGTAGTTAAGCTACCATCGATGCAGTTCTGTCGCCACTAGATTAAACAAGGATTGTTACCACTATAAGACAGAGACAAACTCAGAAGGAATTCAAGACTTCTACCGCGCAGCCTCATTGTATGTTGCAGAAATAACTAAACTGGCCGGGTATCGTTAAGTTGGTTATTTTTTAGCTTATAAAGTTTCACATAGATTTCTTTTTCTCCTTCTTAGCATTCACCGGCTGTTAACTCTGGCAGAAGGTTATGGTTGTTTGTCCATTCCTATACTTTGATCTTGATCCAGAACTTGAGTTTTGTTATTTAAAAAAATCTTTTTTTTTAAAAAGATCATTCAAAAAATCTGGCTTAACTGAGGCAGAATGTAGGCTCCTTGGGAGACTCTTGCATCAGTCCTGAAGGCTGCATGTTCAACTCTGTATCAAGCTGGATTTGGTCGAAAAATTAATGTAGATTCCAGGTCATTGAGCCTAACAATTGGCACCGGGTTAAGCCCTGGGAAGTAAAGGTGACCAGCATGATGCTGACCATATTACTTATCAGGTGCCAATTGATCTATAAAATATAGGTCTGGCAGTGTATACCCAATACGCCTAATGGCGTAGAAAACATTACTTTGTTGGTTCCTTGTTTCTCAGGCTTATGCAATCAGACTTTAAAGGAAACATGTCTAAATAGTTGCCTAATATGACACGTTTGTCGAGGAGGGGGGGGGGGGGGGGGGGGAGAGAAGAGATATCTATTCCTTTTTCTCCAAGGTCTGGGCAGTTAGCATTCTGTTGTATGGATGAGTGCAGGACAACAATGCTGTGTTATCTATCAAAAGGTGCCATCTTCACAGTGAAGGTCAGCTTTAACAGTTTCTGGCATTTGTTATCTCATGTTATGATAGTACAGTCTAACATAACATGTCTCACTGCTGTTCCTGCTTAAGCAAGCACATCAACCTTCTTATCTACCACAAGGTTACTATCATCTGGAATTCACTTTCAAATTTATACGACAATACTATTATTTAAACGCCAAAGGTTAAAGACTCCCCATATACAAGGTCACATATATTAGGATGAATGGCCACTGTACACTTTCTTGTTAGTCTGCCCATTATCAATTACAGCCAGTTAGAATATACCTGCAGATCATTTGCTAGCCTTTTGTATGCAGAACATTAAAAGAACTCAACACATAACATTAAAATGTGTGACAAATGACGCAAAAGGATTCATATTAACAATATATGACAAGCAGCAAAAAAAAAAAAAAAGACAGGCTCGGATAGAATGCTTATGAAAATATCACAATCACTGGGGTGTGACCAAAACTGTGCAGATATTTATGAGCAAAATAAAAAAGGAACAGAATGTGATATGATCATAAGTATGGAAAATAATTCAACATGAATAATAGTAAAAGGATAGGAGAACCGATATCATTATCAAGTGCCTTGTCAACTGCATTGGTGATCATGCCTTCACAACCTGGAATCTCCACAGTCACAACACACTCCAGTTTCCCTCTTCTCATAACATGGAAAAAATAATAACTGTCATCCTTCTGATGTTTTGATAAGCTGTCTTCGGGCCTTTTAAAACATCTAAACAACCAGAGACAGGAGAGTCAGCATTATCCTTTGCAGAGTTCGGAGGAGCAGATGGATCACCACAGTCTGGTGAGATTGATGCAAGGGGAGAGTGACGAGAGGTTCTGGCAGATGCTCCAGGCAGGGCAAAACGGACGTTTAATCAGAATACTGCTGGCACCATTGGTATCGGAACTCTTCGCTTTCTGCTGAAGATGGGGATGGAGTGCTTATGGGAATGCCCCCAGTGCTGTAATGTTGGTTCTTGAATCAAATAAAATCAATTATCCTTTGGAGAACGGCACTCTCATTACCGTCTGCCTGAAAGAAACTCAGTCTCTCGCCAGCTAGACTTTTAACAAGAGGAGAGCAGGTCCGCTTATTTTAAGACAAGGAAAATGGACCAAACTCTTGAAATCACCAATGAAAACAATTTATATGACTAACGCACACATATAACAAGAAGCTATCTTCTTCTTCAGCATTCTGAGCCCTTGAGGTTCATTGCTGCAGATATCACTCGCCTCCAGTCATCTCTCTGGTTGGCCTTCTCTTTTCAGTTGATGACACCAAATGTTTGCAGGTCTGATTAGATATTATCTCTCCATTGTCTTCTTGGTCTGCCTCGTGGTCTACGACCATTCATCTGCCTCGAGTATATAGTTTTTACTTCTCTGTCATCCGAAATTCTTTCAATATGCCCCAACCATTTTAGTCTATTAGCTCTCATGATGCCAGTGATCAGTGGTGATTTAAACATATTATGAATTTCGTTGTTGCTTCTCACTCTCCATTCACTGCTGTTTGCATCTTTGATGGGTCCAAAGATTTGTCGTAAGACTCCGTTTTTGAAAACCTGTAAAAAGGCTTCATCTATTTTAGCTGTGCTCCAAGTTTCAGAGCCATATAAAATGACTGGTAAAAAGAAGCTATAGGTATCAGAATTGATAAAGGAACTAAATGAATAAAATAAGGCAGCATGTAACAAAAAAAAAACAAAAAAAATTAACAGCAAAATATGAACTAGCTGGGAAAACACCACTACCTCAGTTCAGGTCTGTTACATTGATGTCCATCCCTGACTCTCCATGTTCTGATCCTACAAATGTAAGGGCTTCATTTAGTAGTTTTTTTTTCTAATGCTGCTAATAATTTACCTAGGCTTCATATAATAGTTTCCTTATGCCACTAATCATATACCTAGGCTTCATATAATAGTTTCCTTATGCCACTTATCATACACCTAGGCTTCATATAATAGTTTCCTTACACCACTTATCGTATACCTACGCTTCATATAATAGTTTCCTTATGCCATCAATCATATACCTATGCTTCATATAATAGTTTCCTAATGCCACTAATCATATATCTATGCTTCATATAATAGTTTCCTTATGCCACTAATCATATATCTATGCTTCATATAATAGTTTCCTTATGCCACTAATCATATATCTATGCTTCATATAATAGTTTCCTTATGCCACTAATCATATATCTATGCTTCATATAATAGTTTCCTTATGCCACTAATCATATATCTATGCTTCATATAATAGTTTCCTTATTTCTATCTGTTTTCATCTTTCTTTCGAAATAATGGTCATTTTATTTTTACAAATAATACAAATAATAAGTAAACACAAAAGATCCTTTTCCCAGCTTTCAGGCATACTGGATATATAGGACTAGACCTATATTTTATAGAGAAACAGGCATTCGGTGATTGATGTGATCACCACTACGCCAGTCACCTTTACTTCCTAGCACTATGTTTAGTACACATTTAAGGTTTGGTCGAGCTGGGAAAAACAATCCTTTTTTTTTCAAAAGATAGTTCCGTCACGACCCGAAACCATGACCTGACCATTCGCAGGCGAGCGAATTTTCTGTAATGTTAATTAACAATGCTCTGGTAACCTTTCTTTGCTGACGAGCAATCTGTCAATTGTAGTCATGCAAAACAAACATGAAGGTTTAATGATTCCCAAAGTAATAAATAGTTAGAAAGAGTGAACATTAGTAAAATGGATCAAACTTCTAGAATAAACTATTCATTATTACTGGATAAAAAGTGATTAGAGAAACTGCTGAGAATTGATGCTTACCTGTTGTCCACTGCACGAGGAAGTCATGGAAAGGCATCTGGAAAAATGGCTCCATTTTTGTGCCTGTTTCTGAAAATTCAAAAATGTCTTTGTAATTAATTTTGCAAAGGACAATTTAAACAATATGATTTGACAGCAGATTTATTACTTCTTCTTTTTCTCCACACTCTGGCTGTCAACTGCTGCGGACACTTCTGGTTATTTGTCCCCTTCTGGACTGTAGTATTGTTCCAGGACAGGTGTTTTGCGTGCACATTCATTTCACAGATCTGGTTTATTAATTTTTTTGCAGACTGCTGGTGCCTTGTCTATCAGGGAGATACACTGATTATTATTACCCTCCAGCCTGTCTATCCCGTCTATGACTTTCTTGTTCTCTCTGCAGATGCGTGTGCATGCTTGTTCCACACTGTGAAACAATTTAAAACCCTATTAACAAAACTGACACCACTACTCACGGAAAACCCATAACAATCAAATCTTCTCTACAGATGCTGCACATGTAAGATAAATATCCCTTTAGCACAAAACCTTCCTAGCCATTTAGCACTACAGCTGCCACTGTTTTAATTGTTACTAACATAAAATACCAGTATAGCATATCAACATTTGATAGCAAACAATGTCTAACATGCAACATAAGAACTTTCTTCTGCCCTCCAGTTTAGCATGTCCTCAACCGATTTGCGCCAAGCTGTCAAATTCTTCGCCATTATGACTAGCTCAATAGCTAATTCAGAGGCACATGTTCAAGCCAACTTAATTGTCAGGAACTAAGAGAATAAGAGAGGGATGACCATCATTATCTCCAAAACTAAAAACGTGGTCTCAAGAGAGTAGAGGAATCAACAGATCTCGATGGGACAGTGTGCGCTGGAGCAAGTCAATCAGTTCAAATACCCTGGAGCTGTAACAGAGGCATTAAGATAGATAGAGCTGGCTACTCCAAAAGCAGCTGCTGGAAGACTTTTTCCAGATCATAAAATGAGGTAGCAAAAGATAAACTGGAAAGAGGACAAAAATGACTGTTTACCACTCTACCTATGTGCCAGTCCTGACCAACAGGTGTGAGTCATAGGCAATGATAACAGTTCCCAGAAGCCTGCTTCTGGCCTCAGATTATCTGAGAAAGCTAGTCCAAGTGACAAAGTTTGAAATGAGAAAATACATCAGGATCTTGAAACACAGGCCTTACAAACTTGAGTGGATGAGTCACATTTACGATGGTCTGGACATGTATGCAGAATTGAAGAAAATTAGCCACCATGTGTAAGGGGTAGACCCACTGTCCCCCAATAAGTGGTATGAGCGTTTCTTTCAAAGTTGAAGTGCGTCTGCCTGAGAGGTCTGGTTCTTGGCACCAGACCACCAAGAAGAGCCAGGGTTCGAGGGAAGACAACAACCAACAGTCCCTGACTGATGAAGAACTGGAATAGAACAAAGCCCAAAAGAAAACAGCAGACAGAGAAGTTTGGTGATCTCTTTGGCAAGCCTCTACATCCCAAGGTATAAAACGATCTAAGTAAGTAAGTATTTTTTGCACATCCATGCTGTTTAGTGAAAACTTAAATACTTGCTATCCCGGCAGCATAATATTCAACACAAAATCTGCAAGTTTTAACTACTTACAATCACTATTTAAAAAAGATGTAGGAAGCATTAAAAAATCACTCAAAAATCTTTTTTAATTTGTGTCAACAATTCTTCAAAGTCCTTAAATCTCAACACCACACTGTGCTCTCTTCATCTTTTTTAAAAACAACAGCACACAAATCTCACTCACAAATATAACTGAGATGCCAATTCACGGTCAGTGACAAGGTCAAAGATTGGTAAATGAGGTGTCCTTGAAATGTACTTTCAACTTTAATTTGTTAAAGTTTTACAGAATTTACAAACACAATGAGTTCATTTTAAAGTATGCCTACAACTGATTCCCTGCACTGGACACACCTTATAATTAAGAATATTAGTTAAAAAGTAACATTTCCTTAAAATATAACTAGAAACAAAAAAGTGGCATTACTGGATGTTGAGAGGACTAGAGATCAAATTAAACATAGTATTACTGATGTGTCTCTGCCGTGAAGTGCTGGAGGAGCTTGTGTGTTCCAATGACCCCAATAAGCGATACAGACAACAAGTTACTGATAATTTCCCCCATGTCAGACAGAAGAAAGAAGAGACATATGAGATGAAGAGAGACATAAAGCTACTGCCTTGTAGGTAAACTTGGTACAGCCAAAGCTAGCTTGAAAAAAAACCTTGTCACAATAAGATTTCTTCTTCTTCTTCGTAGTGTTATTGGCTTTAAGCTCTTGTGGTAAATTATGGTTGTTTGTCCAACTCTCGACTTTGTTGTTCTAGAACTTTTGGTGCACATTTGTTTAACAGATTCAGCTTATTGCCTGTGAACTGTGGGCTCCTCACCTCTCAGGCAGACACACTCCCACTTTGAGGAAAACGCTCATACGACTTATTGGGAGACTGGGTTTATTCTCCCACCCCCCCCCCCCCCAAAAGTGAGGCCACAGAATCTACATGATAGGGAATAGTATGTACTGAGCACAGACTTGATGAAGTAGTGAAATGTAATTCACTTCATAAAATTCAAAATAGGACTCAGTGATCAACATTAAAGTTAATTGCATATAGCAGATTATTATTTACTTTTCAGGATTTAACAAACCAACCCCCGCATGAATTATTGGTCTTTTGTGGTTTTATTAGGCAATTTTCGGGTTAATGTAGAGGAAGCATTTTCATTATAAACGCAAAGCGGTCTGCTACCACCGAACTAAGTCTGGGTAACCACTACACTACAAGGGGATAGTGCAAACTTACTAAAACTCCCATAACTATGCATAAAAAGTAAAGCTCTGAAACACTAAAAAATTGCCAGTGTTGAGTCGAGAATGAACATCACAGCACTCCCAGCACTCAGAGCATTCCCATGTATGCTCCGTTCTCTCTTCAGCAGCCAGCACAGAGTTCCAATACTGATGGTACAGGTCATAATCTGGTTATTTGTCCGTCTTGCCTTTCCTCTGAGTGTACTGAGGCAGCCAGACCCTCTAGTTACACCCAGGTGCCTTATTCTCTCCAGGCCATAATAATCTTCTATCTCTACTGATTACGTTGCTTGTTCCCGAAGGGGCTTGACCATATCTATCTGCCTTGTCATGTATCAATTCACCACCCAGTGGTGCAGATCCAGCCAATCTGTCTGTCTGTTCACTACCCAACACACCGGCATTGCCTGGAGCAAAACATCCAAAGTATGCTCACTACCTGTGACTTTTCCAGTGAAGCTTGCCACTCTGCTTGAAGTATCCCTGTCTTCACCTTTCTCAGCATGCTTTCAGTCTGTTATAATTACGATATGTGTATGCATCTTTTTCTCTAGCCACCAAAGTGGTGCAGCTACCGTCTCCACCTCCATTCTCACGAGTCACGCTAGATGTTGTGGTGTCGGTATGCCCGGCTGTCTTGCACTAAAGATTTTCCATTGGCTTTCGCTATGAACCCACAGGCACTTCTCTTTCCTCTCAACACCGAACCATCAGATTACCAGATTTAAGCAGAGGAAAGAGAGCTAATAGAAACTGCAAGGAAAAGATGCTACCAGAAACCAACTAAAAGGTCATTTAAGGACTTTAAAATAAACAACATGCCCGAAGCCGAAAGGGCAGCAGGGGACACCATGACCATGGGGCGTCATGTCATGTTGATATGATAGTAATGATACAAATTAAAAACTAAGAAAATAGCTCAGGGTTTAGAGAAACTGAAAAATGGTAATGTTGTTGCAGTACTATATTCATTTTAAAAATACAAATGCACCATAAAAGCTTATAGCTATTGAAGTATGTTAACAAGACATATAATTTACCGAAGCAGCACGAAATCGTCGGCAGAGTGTGGCCATTTTACCATAGAGGACAAACTGCACTGCTTGCAGAATTGTTGTGTCAATTGTGGAGTTGAGGAAGCTAACAGACCGACTGACTGACGTCAGGGTTGCCATATTTTATGCCAGATTTCCCAAATTTAGCATATTTGAAATTGAACTGGCATAAGATAATGAACTGGCATATTTTGGCATATTTGAGTTTTACCTGGCTTTTTTATCATGATGTGCTCAAATTTTCTTCTTGGTTTCTCCGTTAGAAACACGCAGATTTACTATTAGCAATGTAGACCTACAGTTAACATCTTTATTTCAGTTTGACTTTGTTACGATGTCCTGGTACGGACTAACGGAGATTCGCGCCATTTCTTATTGTATTTGTTGTCTTCCTAAACGGATCGTGACTTCGATAAACTAAGGCCGTCTGTAAATTATGTTAACCTACTAGAATAATTGTGGGATATAAAACTGAAACCCACCTCTGATACCACGTCATTTAGAATGTTCAGAAACTACCTGAGGACAGAAAATAGAGAGGCTATAGACCTAGTTCTATCTGTGATAGATTTTATTACTTTTACCAATGGCCACATCATCCACACACACACACACACACACACACACACACACACTGGAAAGCATCTTATGACATAGCAAGGATAATAGTAACTGGAAGAAAACATACACACGGCTCAAAAGAATTTCAGACATATCAGAGGCAGCATATTGTAAACTACGTCAGTGCACTGTTGCACCAAGAATTAGTAGCATATCAAATCATGAAAAATCCGAAAAACACAGGACAAAAACTCTGTCAAAAAGCCAGTCACAGCTTATTACAACATAAACTCCTAGGCAAAGTAATGATAAAGTTAAAAGGAGTTGCAACTTGCTGTAAGCATGACCTGCCATTGTGCAATACGCACAATTGATCATGTAAGTGAAATCATTAGAGCGCTTGGTCGGGGGAGTACATTGGAGCACATACAGTTGCATAGAACTAAATGTTCATGCCTAATAAAAAAATATTATATCGCCTGCACTTATGGATGACCTTATTGATGATTTTCGGAACAAGAAATATGCCATCATTCGAGATGAGATGCAAAGATTTCACCCCATCTGAGAAAATGTTTAAAGATTTGAAATCCGAAAAGGTTTACGCTGTGTCTTCCACTTGTTCCAGTGAGGATGATAGTGAAGAATTCAATCTAGAGCTTTTGATGTGAAGCTAGTGCAATGTTACACTTTATTTGGCATGTTCTGGCATATTTTGGGTAATGGTTTGGCATAGAATGAAGTTTTTTTTATCTGGCAACCCTGACTGACGTTCAAACCCACAAGGACCGCACTACGAGCGATGAACACTCGGAGACACAAAGTTCCACCATTCGGGTGAGAATCACACTGGAACTTTTTCCAGAAACCCCATTCAATCCTAGGTTACGATTAGGACCCACTGACGACAGCCGAGGTGGGCGGGGACTTTCAAAAAAGGAAGTATGATCACTGAAGATGGTAGAATTGACAGAGAAATAGAAACCTGAAGTCAGACAGCAAGTGCATTTATATACCATTATCGCCGTTATTAAGACATCCAACCATTACTATGAGTGCAAAGAGACAGATTATAAAGAGTATATTCTTTCCAACATTAAGCTAACAGTGCCAAACATGGACACTATCTAAAGCTCATAAATGCAAAATCATCACCTACGAGATGAGATGCCTGAGAAAAGCAGCCAACCTAAGCATCCGAGATCGAGTGAATAATGATACTATCAGACAAATTGTGGGAACGACCCCTTGTACTAGATTCATAGAGAAACAGCAGATCAAGGGGTTTGGCCATCTCGTATCGTATTGTATCGTATAGAATCAAACAAAATTCCAAGCTTAGACCTTTTTTAGCCACCTGAGGCCTGCTTTATCAAGGACGGGTCCTTTGCTATCTTATTTTAGTTTTCTTCATTTGTGGTGAGCGATTACACCTGAGTTTGGTCATCTCGTTAGAATGCAGGGAGATTAAATACCATCACAAGCACTACATCTCAGACGATCAGCTACAAGAGGACGGCCGTGGAAAATAGATCGACAACATTAAAGACACTCTACGCCTTCACGGCATGTCAATAGCTAGTGGCAGCCAGCGTGCACTGGATCGCAAATTATTCCTCCCTACGCCGCTTAACGGCAGAAGAGGCTTATGATAATGATGGAAAAAAATTTGTTCCAGCTTTGGGACGGGGATATAGCCATGGCTAGCTTAAGCTGGCCGTGATTAAGATAATAAGGAGATGAAATGCGATGTACAGGTACGCTACAGTAAAACCAAAATTTCAGGTAATCGAAAATCGAATTCGGGTTTTAGAAAGTTGAAAAAAGTGATAACTGGGAACTAACAATAATACATCCCTGCTGAGACCAAAATTTGTCTTAAGCGAGGTCGCGTTTACGGTGCTTTACTGTACAATTACTAACATGTAAAAACTCAGGAATTTACAAATGCATGCTTTCTCAGCGACCCAAAGAGCGTGCTATAGAAGATAAGGACTGACATATACGATATAGCACACAGCCTTTCGCACAAATCACCTTCATTTTTGTCCCAGAGCATTCTGGATGGAAAGGAAATGAGTGAGCAGACACCCTTCCTGGCAGTGCGTCTATGAGGCATGGGTCATTTATGGACAGGAAAAACATCACCAATGCCATACTAGAGATTAAACGCTGTGAGGATTTCAGTTTCATGGAAAATGAATAGACTGCATACCCTGGGTGTACCAATGGAAGCCACGACACAGGAAAACAATGCGAGAGCCACGCATCGTTACATCAAAACTGAATGGGAGTTATTAGCCTAAAAATACTCAGAGACAAACTCGGGAGGAGATCGATGTACTTATTCATGTCCGATGAAATCGATATGTAAATGGACAATGAACTAACATGTAAACATGATGTTGCCAGTACAGCGAGGTCTAAGTGAGTTAAACGTAACCCCACTTGGAGCGCACACTGAACGATTAACGCAACCTGTGACACAAAATGCTGTTAGTCATTACTGTCACGTGCCTGATTTAAGGATTTCTCCTTAAGAACCAACAGCACTCTGAAATAATAATCTTGAGTCGTTGGCTCCTATTGGTCTAAGGGATATCTTGTGGCCAATATACGCTCAACTTATTTCAGGAGTAGGGCAACTCAAGCTTTGGCACTACAAAATATATAATATTCCTAGGCACACTTGGCTGGACACCCCCACTACTATAAAAAGCTAGCTCCCAGGTTATGATAGTATACTATTATAGCCATGTTAACACAGATAACACTTATTACTCACACAAACATAAAAGCTAGACAGTTAGAATGATGAAACAGGGACACCCAAGTCAGCCATGAAAATTTCTGCATGTAATAAGTACAATATGTATACATATATTAATGAATAGATCATCAAGAATGTTCAGTAAATGGAGTTCATGAATCAATGACACAACCCAAATATTGAAGCAGCCAGATGTAGTTCTTGGATATTACATGAGTTCATCATAGGAATCACAAGGAGCTGTGGGAAGAGAGCATGTATATGAATAAGAGATCACTTATCCCAGTTCGTAGGTCAATGCTCCCCTCAGTCCATGATGATTTGACTGTAGTTGACTCAATAGGTAGCTATGCCTCGATTTGATCTGGTACAAGCTGACTGTCTCACAAGTGATGACACAGGAACTGCATAGGAGCCCAACAAAGCTCTTGAAGACTGGTTCTCTTGATTGATGACATAGGTGTCTGCAATTGTCCACAAGTACTGGAACTCACAAACAAGCTCTTGCCATGTTGAGATAGTGGCCAATAATAGGTAGGACTTTTGGTTATGCTTGGTGCCCAGAATGGTATGTGTTGCTGGTTGTTGGCTGGACTGTGATTCGTCTGCCTGATCTCTAAGGAGGTATCATCCCAAGCTTAGGAATTCTTCAAAGGGAGAACTGGTACTTAGAATGCGCCAATTTTATTCCTAGACTGTATACACGTCTTGACACTTTGGAGATCAGGCGAAAGAATGCCGCTCAAAACTACGCTTGGCGTCTCTAGGAAAGAAGTCCCTGTATTCATGCCCAAGGAGTAAACAGGCTTACAGGAATTTCTGAATTAAACACCAGAAATCTTCAGCCCACAGTTGCAAGTTTGAAAATGAAGATTTCTCAAAGCAACTAGAGGGTCTAGAAATGAATATTTTACCAGATAAAGGTATATATCATTATAAGGGACTATATACCCCTCCGGACGGGTTTAAGTTTGAAATGTGACGTGCCCGCGAGGGAGGTCAGCGTCACGACTCATCCACTGTGTAGGGTTGGCTGTTCACTCCACGACAATTACTCGGATGAGAATCCCCCAGGTCAAGTCGCAGAGACCACGTTCAATCATGATGTTATATGTAGGGCCCCCGGCGGTTTCAAAGTAACCTGAAGTCAAGTCGGGGTGAGGCTGTGAAAACGAAAAGTCCTACATTGGGACAAGATAATTGAAACTGAGATAAATGGGGTGTCCAGGACAAAGTGATAAAGTCGTTTGCCTATTGCTCTAAAGGTTGTGGGTTAAATTTTGGACTTTATCCTTCGGTTTGTGAGTGCGAATTGTTTGTACAATTCCTTCTGTTTGTGAGTGCGGATTGTTTGTACAGACCACACGTCACTTATTTGGGTGATGTCAATATCACGCCGGTAGTCTTTTCTTTACGGGACACTTACTTGTAGCTATTTTAGGCTGGTAGTCAGTTTTATTTTTGTTCAAATATGCCGGTACGGATTGTGTTGAGTTGAGTTCATTCAAGAACCGACATCACAGCACTCGGGGCATTCCCATAAACGCTCCGTCCCCATCTTCAGCAGCCAGTGAAGAGTTCCCATACTAATGGTGTCAGTAGCAGTCTGATAAAACGTCCGCTTGCCTTTCCCCTGAGCCTCGAGCAACTGCCAGAATCTCTCCGCTGCATCAAGCTCACCAGACTGTGGTGATCCATCTGCTCCTCCGAACTGTACACGCTCTCCCACAAGGCACTAGTCACGCCCGCCTTATCGTGCATCAGTATTCCACCAAGCTGTGCAGAGACAGCCAGTCTGCCTGCCTGTTCATTTCTTAACACACCGGCGTATCCCGGTGGAAAAATCTAGACAATACTCCTCACCTGTGTCCTCCTCAGTGAAGCATGCCACTCTGCACAAAGCATGCCTGTCCTTACCTTCCTCATGCTTTCTGAGTCAGTTACAATCACGCTCTGTGTGTATGTGTGTGTGTGTGTGTGTGTGTGTGTGTGTGTGTGTGTGTGTGTGTGGTGTTCTCTAGCCAGCGGAAAGCTGCAGTGACCGCCTCCGCCTCCATTCTTAGCTGGATGTTATTGCATCATACGCTAGGCTCTTTTGCACCAAATGTCGACCATTAACTTTTGCCAAGAAACCCAAAGCACTTCTTTTGCCTCTTGACACTGAGCCGTCTGTGTAATAATCAAATCCTCTGAGCCAGCATTATCTTGAATTAATTGCTGAATTTCCACCTCCGTGGCATCTGCTAGCCAGTCTCTGCATTCCAGGCTTGTGTGATTATGACCCCACACAAGTCTGACTGTTCAGGTGGACTTTGACCCACTTCTCTCCTCGCCTATTGTTCTCAAGGATGCAAACCTGTCTGTCTTCTGTTTGAGCCATCCATGACTTCCCTCTTATCATCCGCTGACCCTTAACTGCGCCCAGAGCTTCGTGCAAGGCGTGATCTGTGTCTACGGCTACCTTGAGATATGTCTTCACCAACAGCACATTGTGCCTACCTGCAACAGTCGGCAAACCAAGGATTATCGCATACAGGAGTAGAAAATTATAGGGAAGAGAAAAAGTTGGTAAGAAACAACAAATAGTTTATGTTAGCTTTACAAAATCGATCACAATAAACAAACAAAAGACGTTGCGGCGATTAGCCTTCATCAGCACATAAAGGACAACACAGTACACACACACACAAATATGTTCTAACTATGAAGTGACTACATAGGACTCTAATGTATAAAATAAATGATACTCATCTGTGTCACTGGCGAAAAAACTTCGTACAGTGAAATGACGGTCAGCTTATATATCTCCAACGCGCAGGTGGGGGCGAAAAAAGGGACGGATTAGACGCCAACAGCGTACACTGAGTGTCTAAGGAGGGAGGGGTTGGCCTATAGGGCGTAATCGGGGTTGGGTTGTGGGGATGACATTGGTCCATCCGCATGGAATAAAAGTGGTGCCTGTGCTTGCAAACAAATATCAGCAGACAGACAGACAAACAGACAGACAAACAGACAGACAGACAGACAGACAGACAGACAGACGGACGGACGGACGGACGGACGGACGGACGGACAGACAGACAGACAGACAGACAGACAGACAGACAGATAGATAGACAGAAAGATAGATAGATAGATAAACAGACAGACAGACAGACAGACAGACAGACAGACAGACAGACAGACAGACAGACAGACAGACAGACAGACAGACAGACAGACAGACAGACAGACAGACAGACAGACAGACAGACAGACAGACAGACAGACAGACAGACAGACAGACAGACAGACAGACCACAGACAGACAGACCACAGACAGACAGACAGACAGACAGACAGACAGACAGACAGACAGACAGACAGACAGACAGACAGACAGACAGACAGACAGACAGACAGACAGACAGACAGACAGACAGACAGACAGACAGACAGACAGGTAGGTAGGTAGGTAGGTAGGTAGGTAGGTAGGTAGGTAGGTAGATTAGATCGTGGATGGTGGGGTGAATGGATGAGTGGGTAGCGCAATTGATGCGCGGGTAGACAAATAGACGTAATGATGGCTATACTTGTGGATGGATGGATCGGCTGATATATGAAATCAGCTAAAGACAAGGGTCTCAAGACACGATACTTCTCACTTACTGTCAGCTATAAAATAGAGACAGTAAGGGTGATTGTTATACAAAGTATCAGTCGAACCGAGCGCAGAACTGGTTAAAAAACAGAATGTAAGGGAGCCATGGAAAAATAGCTAAGGTGGATGGTGAGGTGAGTAGGTGGTGATATAGATGGGTGGGTAGATGAGTGGATGGGTAAAGGATGGCTATATTGGTGGATGAATGGAATTGCTAATATATAGAATCGGGTAAAAATATGGGTCTCGTGATAAGATGCTTCTCTCTTACTGTCAGCTATCAAATAGAGACAGTAAGGATGCTTGTTATACAAAAGTAATCAGTCGAGCCCGAGAGTAAGACTGGTAACAACCAGAATGTAAGGGAGCGATGAAGGGATAGATGGGAAAACAGCATGTGTGGATGGTGGAGTGAATGGGTGAGTGTGTCCTGGATAGATGGGTGGGTAGATGAATGGATGGAATGATGGATGACTGTATTAGTGGATGAATGGATGGGTGGGTAGATGAATGGATGGAATGATGGATGACTGTATTAGTGGATGAATGGAATGGTAGATGGACGGATGGATCGACCAAATATAAGAAGAGGCAAAAACACGAGTCTAGTAACACAGTGCTTCTCTCTTACTGTCAGCTATCAAATAGAGACAGTAAGGGTGATTTTTATACAAAGTATTAGTCGAGCCCAAGTGCAAAGCTGGTAACAGCCAGAATGGAAGGAAGCGGTGAAAAATAGCATTGAGTGGATGGTGGGATAAATGGTGTGGGTAGATGAATGGGCGGGACGATGGTTATGTTCGTAGATAGATGCAATGGTAGATGGATGGATGGATCTGCCTATATGAGCCCAGAATGACGCGCATAGCTGCGTTCTGTATGCGCTCTAGTTTGTCCGTCTGACTCTTTGAGACGGTAAGCAGTCTCAGGCCATAATCAATCACTGACAGGATCAGGTGCTGATATAGTGTGAACTATCTGCTCGATGTCAAGTGCAGCCATAGTCTTAAGTGCACCAAGTCCTTTTTTTGGCATCTTGTCACAACAGTCTTCACATGGCCCTTGAAGGACAGGCTCCTGTCAAATGTAATTCCCAGATACTTCAGTTTGCTAAGTGTTTTGATTTCTGGTAATGAAGGGTGTGTTGTTTATCCTTTGCTCAGTTTTTTTTTTTTCAGGACTGTTCAAAAAGCTTACTCAGGGGCAAAAATTTTGAAAATGAAGATTGTCAGAGCACCTGCATAAAAAGATAATGAAAACAATGCATCTGACAAGATCCGTGGGCCACTTTAAATGCATCCGCGGGCCGCCATAGGTATAACCCTGCATTACTGCACTGATCTCTGCCAATATTTTCGAAGGCTGTTTAGATTGAATTCTTAAGTAAGTTGGGGTTTTCGTGGTTAATGGGCTCAGACGTTTCCATCTAACTCCTTAAGTTGTGAGTTCGTTTCAGGAACTGCGTGTTTGAATCACGAGTGCAGTTCTTATCACCGATCCCTGGGGGTCGTCGCTTGACATTCAGCACATTGTTATTATTGTTATTACTGTGCTGTAGCAAAATGTATATATGTATGTATGTATGTCTGTCTGTGTGTGTGTGTGTATATATGTGTGTCTGTATGCGTGTATGTATGTACGTGTGTGTGTGTGTGTGTGCATATATAAAATACTATATTTGAAATAATATTAAATGTATAAATAAATACTTTTAAGGAAAATTTCCATGCATGGTGTTAAATGGCGTCTCTTAGTCCCTATAAAAATGACTGGGAGGGATGTGGTGGGGTCGACCACCGCCTCCTATAGAAGGAGCTGATGGTGGGTCAACGTTTTATGTGGCGCACATAACCTAGTCACAATTAATACCTTACCACTGCACGCCACCAAGAGCCCTGAAATGGACTGATGCAGTGTTTAATGATGCGATCAAAGGAGACAGACCCAAATACTGTCACGAAATGCGACAAAGTCGTCTACAGGCGAACCAACGAGCGACCCCGTCGCCGGTGTGGAAGAAGCAGAATAAATATATTTCTACTTTTGACAGCTATATACAAAGTAATTGTACAAATAGAAAACTACGCGAGAAGTGTACTCCCGCGTGATTTGGCCTTTCCATTCGGTTTCGCCATCTCTGGTAGGAAGGGCATTGGTGTCAAATCGTATCTGCTGTAGTTTACTTGTTACTTTTGTCTATGATTGTTAAAGTAGCAGTAACTTTCACTGATTTTTATAAACCACTGACATTTTGTGCGTTTTCCCCAGATCCAGAATCATGTCGAACTCACTAGATGTGGTGTGTCGGAGGAATGTGTTCAGCAACCCGTTTTATACAAAAGCAAGGTGCGAAAGCAGTGTCAGCCCTACAAGAACAATCGCTGCCGCTGCTGCATCAGGTAAATCAAAACAATAATATAAGTAACGCAGTTTCGCTTGTGAAATAGATTGGTATACAGTGTTTTATTGATTTAATTTACTTTTAATCATTAAGCCCTTCTCTGTCTCATGGACATTGATTTGTGATTGCTTTCATTTTGCTTTCATTTTGCGTTGACCCTTTTGTCCTTAGACTTATTGGGTCTAAGGTCAGCTGGAAAGAAAAAGGAATGAGATATGATATATATCCACCCCCCACCCCACACACACACACTTTCCACCTTATGCTGCAGTTTACTTTGTAATGTAGGGTGTCCTAATATAACTTATATTGTTGAACAAGGTTTCTGGGAATAGATCCTTTGATTTTCGTCCTTGTGGAATCCTGAACAACAGTACAGCAGTCATATGGGAGAACAGTGACCTGATCTGACCTGAAGAGGAATATCTCAGGGTTAAGATTCCACTTGAATGTAATTGTTCAGCCTTAATTGTTCAGGTTAGATATTGCTATAAATAAAATGAAGTTTTAAGGAGTACTTTCTTTAAAAAAATGACCTTGGATCCCAGATCAACCCAGCCTTGAGTGGGTACTAGGTGCAGTCCTGGGAAGTAAAGGCGGCTGGCGTGATGTGTTGACCATATCACCCATCTATGAAATATAGCTCTAACCCTATATGCCAAATGCGCCTGAATGCGTGGAAAAAGGTCCTGTACTTTCTATTTGAGGAGTTCTAAGATTTACAGGTAAATAAGTAAGCCTCATTGAATATACCTTTCAGTACATATATTACAAGGTCGTGAAGTGTAACACTTACTGTAGGGGGTGTACATCAGGTATGGCTGTGCTTGTTTCTGAGAAGATGTGACCTGCACCTAAAGAGTCAAACTTTGGATGCCATTCAAAGATGGCAAATCTCAGATATATTACATTCAGCTTCCTAAGAAATTATTATTTATAATTAGGTCAACTGTAATGACTTCACCAAGTACTACATCAATTACTGTCTTGTCTTTTGGAAGTGAAGCACTTTTGCAGTAGGCTTCATTATAAGATTTCATGAGGATTATTTGCTTCTGGCAGTGTTGTCTTTGCTATGATAACACTGTAAGTAGTACATATCTTTAATGAAACATTGGTTTGGACTGTGAACATTTGGAATTAAGGTCCCCCTTCAAATTGTGCATGATTAAGGGAGTGTACTCTTTCTCACAAAATAAGTAGGCCAGGCGAGAAAATGACTATTGACTGCCATTCTCAAAATGTCATGGTCTGATATATGTGTAGCCCTGTTACTTAACTCCCCTGCATCATTTTTACCAAGAAGACTATAAATGCACAATGAAGGCACAGAACATTACACCCGACCTTCGTTATAAATATGGTTCACTAATTTAGTATAAATATGGATTTACTCCTGTTGGATTCTGATTGGAATAGTGGCTCTTTGAGTCACCAGGTGTTAGTCTTTCAGAAGTCAGTGCTAGAGAGCAGGGGAGGGGTGGAATGACCATGCCATTATCTTTGTCTAAATTCACATGTTTATCGTGTCATGTGAGTTCTGGGGGTCGGTTTTGGGGAAAAATAAAACAAACTCACTGGCCTTCTAACAATCATATTGTTAAAGTCTACTGAGAGTAAGAAACCAACAGTCTGCACACAAGGAATTCAGATCTGTAAAATGAATGTGCATGCAAAATCCAGGTTCTGGAACATTACCAAAGTCTAGCAGTGCACGAGCAACCAGAACTTTCCGCTGGAGTTGGCAGATGAGCGCAAAGAAGATGTGTGTTTAGCTATTATCCATGTGAACCAAGCATCATATGATGTGATCTATACAGACAGGACAGATTTTGTGGCATCTTGTTTTCACCGTGTATCTTCTTCAGCATTCTAAGCACATGAGGTTCATTGCTGCAGATATCATGTGCCTCCAAAACAAGGCTTAGATAACTGTTTTGTGATAAAATAAGGCTTTACAAAGATAGTGGTGTCACCTCACACTTTAGTTCCCAACCTGAAAGACCAGGATCTCTCTCTCTCTCTCTCTCTCTCTCTCTCTCTCTCTCTCTCTCTCTCTCTCTCTCTCTCTCTCTCTCTCTCTCTCTCTCTCTCTCTCTCTTGGTGGGTGTGTTATGTGTGTGTATGTCTCTGTGTGTATCAGTGTGTGTGTGTGTGCCATTATGTGTCTGTAGGTGTGTCTGTGTTTGTGGCTGCATGTGTATCTGACTGTGGCTGTGCGCGTCTGTGTGTATGGCTTTGTGTGTGTCTATTATATAATGTGTGTGTGTATGCGTGTGGCTTCGTGGGTATCTGTGTGTGTGTGTGTCTTTTTGAGGATGTGTGTGCATGTGTCTGTGTGTGTGGCATTGTATGTCTCTATCGGTGTATCTATTATACGATGTCTACGTGTCTCTGTTTGTGTCGGTTTATGCATCTGCCTGTATGTCTGTGTGCGTGTGTGACTGTATGCATGCCTGTGTGTGTATGTTTTTTTCCCTGCCTGCGTATGTGTTTGTGTGTGTGACTGTGACTGCATGCGTGTGTGTCTGTGTGGGTTTATATCTGTGTGCATCGGTGTGTGTGTTTGTATGTGTCTTTTTGTGCGGCTACGTATGTATGTGTGTGTGTCTGTGTGGGTTTATGTCTGTGCGTCAGACGTGTGTGTTTGTATAGGTCTTTTTGTGCGGCTACGTGTGTGTATGTGTGTGTGTGTGTGTATAGCTGTGTGTGTCTATATGTGTTTGGGTTGTATGCGTGTGTGTTTTAGAGCACATGTCTGTGGGTGACTGTGGGTATGAGTGTATGTATGTATGTATGTGTGTATGTACTATGTATGAACGTATGTATATATGTATGTATGTATATGTGTGTGCATGTTCGTATGTGTGTGTATTGGGTGTCTATGTGAATGGGTTTGCAGGTGTATGTGGATGTGTGTGTGTGCGTGAGCGTGCACACATATTTTACCACCCATGCCTTTGTTTTTGACTTGATTTTCATAATATGCATATTATTACATAAACATAACATGCTTTAGTGATTAAATACTACTGCTGTGTGAAAGATGGGAGTTTGGAAGGGCCGAATGTAAGACAGGCCTGTGTGCCTAATTTGTAACCCTTAAAAATAAAGTTTGTTCGTTCGTTCTCTCTCCCCCTCTTTCTTTCTCTCCCCCTCTCTCTCTTTCTCTCTCTCTCCCCCCCCTCCCCCCTCTCTCTCTCTCTCTCTCTCTCTCTCTCTCTCTTTCTCTCTCTCCCCCCCCCCTCTCTCTTTCTCTCTCTCTCTCTCTTTCTCTCTCTCCCCCCCCCCTCTCTCTTTCTCTCTCCCCCTCTCTCTCTTTCTCTCTCCCTCTCTCTCTTTCTCTCTCTCCCCCCCTCTCTCTCTCTCTCTCTCTCTCTCTCTCTCTATTCCCAAACTACAGTACTTAGAAAAACTACATAAAAAAAATGCTGTGGTTAGTTCTGCAACATCATGTAAAGGATACACAGTTAACTTTATTTGTGTGCAGATTGTTAGTTTCTTGCCTATCAGGCACAAGTGCTCTGACTTCAGAGAAAAAATCCAGAATTAGTAGCCTTTTAAGCCCTGCTTAATGAGAAGGCAGTATGTCCATTTTCTTTCATCCAAAATGAAACCCCTGAACCCACACCTTAAACATGTGTGTTAAATTTGGTACATTACATAATTTCAGAGGAATACAGCTGTGAGTATGGATCAGGCAAGTTTTACGCTCTGTGTGGCCTTGGGGGCCTCCTGAGCTGTGGGATCACACACACAGCAGTGGTCCCCCTTGACTTGGTCAAGTGCCGAATCCAGGTGGATGCTGCCAAATATGGGGGCATCGTCAAGGGCTTCAGGGTCACCATTGCAGAAGAGGGTGTGCGCGGTCTGTCTAAAGGATGGGCACCTACTTTCTTTGGCTATTCAATGCAAGGTGTCTGCAAGTTTGGTTTCTATGAAGTCTTCAAAATATTTTATTCAGACCTTTTGGGAGAGGTAGGTGTTTTCTGGGGATCTTAGTATTGTTTGTTTGAAGTTTTGTTACATTATGCACTTCTCACTTCTTTACAAGTCAAGATTTTGTGGTTTTTTTTAAGGCAAGCTGTTTGTGGTTTTATAAGACAAACTGCTTCAGATTATTTGACAAGCTTTTTGTTTTTTTAAAAGACAAGCTGTTTTTTGTTTTAGAAAACAAGCTGTTAGTTGTTTTAAAAGACAAGCTGTTTGTTGTTTTATAAGAAAAGCTGTTTGTTGTTTAAGACAAGCTGTTTGTGGTTTTATAAGACTGTTTTATTTTCAGTAGTTTTTTTATTTTTTGGTCATTGCTTTCTAAATGTTTTTTCTTTTTAAACAGCATAATGCAATCCCAGTTAACACACAGACACATCTCTTACAAAGTATATTTGTTCCCACCTATACTACCAGTGCCAGGCATGATTACCTACAACAAACCAGAAAATAAAATTGGTTACCATGGAAATGAGATGTTTGAAAAAAATAAAGGCTGCAGGAGTTAGCAGAAGAGATAAAAATCGGGAATGCAGTTATAAGAGAACAAGTCAACACAGAATTGATTCTAAATTACAAAGACATCAAATTAAATAGTTTACCTGCTTAGAGAAAATACCTTATGACACCATACCGTACAAGGAATACGCCAGAAGAGAAGAAGGACGTAAAGCAAGAGGTAGACCAAGAACCAGGTCTGTTGGAATTATGAAACTCTTGATAACTTCTAAGCCACAGATGCTGACACATCTTGACAGCACACTGAGATTTTGTACGTCTTCCTTCAACGCACTGAGGTTGGTGGGGAAGAAAAGTAGTGGTGGTGGAGGTAGTTCTCACAAGCACGTGGCTTAGGTCATACAGTAAGTCTGGACACAATAAAAGTAATGAGTCAGACCATATTGTCGTCCTCATCTTTCGTCCAAGTAATGTAAATGCTTTGTGCCTGTTTGCAGCATAGCTGCGATATTTGCTGACACATCTTAACTTTTTTCAGACATTTGCTTCCCCAGGTCAGTTCCGGGTCCCATTTTAAGTGGAACAAAATGAATAGACCCACTGCTGAACTAACAAGCATGTGATAGAAGGCAGCTAATTAAAGGTTTGTCCCTAATGAATAGTGAAGTTAGAATGCATCTGTGTGAGAGGGGAGGACCCAGCAAACAATTAACCTTCTCGGCTTCATGAGACATTAGACAGACTCGTCATGTCGCCATGGTCACCCTCTCATCTACAGAGCTGTTGGAGGATGTTTTAGGCTCACCCAAGGAATCATCCCACCCTGTAGACAACCTGGGATGCAGAAGTGCTGAACCACACATGTACCGACACCAGGGCTCATACTTCACCTCTCCATGGCAGTCCTAAAACTAGGTTCCTGACGCCTCGGCCAACTTAAATAAGATGACCATTTCCTTTCATCATCTTCTTTGCGTTCACTGGCTGTGAATTCTGACAGAAAGTTCTGGTTATTCATGCATCAGGACTTTTGGTTTGTACCAGCACCTGAGTTTTGCATGGACATCCGTTTTACTGGATTATTTGTTTGCAGTTCTTGTTCCCGGCCTCTCCGGCAGATGTATTTCAACTTCAAGGGATGACATTGGTTCTGTCTCCAGAATGATTGTGGCCATCCATTTCCTGTGAAGCTGAAATGTATCTGCTGTTGCTAAGAGGTCGGGTACCAGCATTCTGCACACGAATAATCCAGGTCTGTAAAACTCTAGTACTCTTAAACAAATAACCAAACTCCACAAGTGGCTGAACAACCAGACATTCTGCCGAAGCTTACTGTTGGTGAACCTGAAAAAAATACATGTGCACAATTTTACAAGTGTTCAGCTTCATGTTTCTGTCAATCGTCTTTCCACAGGAAAACAGCTATCTCTGGAGAACTAGTCTATATCTGGCTGCTAGTGCCTCAGCTGAGTTTTTTGCCGATATTGCTCTCTGCCCCATGGAGGCCGTAAAAGTGCGAATCCAGACCCAGCCAGGCTGGAGTACAACCCTCAGAGAAGGATTCCCCAGGATCTTCAAGGATGAAGGCCTGTCCGGGTAAGCTGATTGTGTTGGCAATTTATTTGTTGCAAGAATTACTATGCCACAGCATTCAGTGTCATTAACAATGCATTATTTTTTTCCTAATTCATTTCATGATTGTTGATGTGAATAAAAAATGTTTTTTGTAATGATAGTTTAATAGTTAATTTTAACCAAAAACAGATTATGATTGTTAGTTTTTCTGGTTAGTTCCAGTGGTAGACAGTGATGGTTTCTGTTTGAGAATGACGAATTTAAGCAATGAGTGTGTCATAATGGATGCATAAACTCTTTCAGCAACAGCAAACTCATAGTGCGTTAATTGGTTTATGCTTATATGGAACATATTTCTTTACCCCTTATGTCCCATTTATCTTTTATGTTAACCCATCCTTACTCAGTTTATTACTATAATTTCTTCTGCTGAAAAGCTATATTTTTCAAGAAGATGAAGTTACTAAAATTGTTGCTCTGTGATACACAAACTTTAGGATAGACTTGAATTCAGAACTGCTTTTGACACAAAAGGAAGTCGCCGTAGCGTAGCGGCTAGATGCTCGCCTGCAGATCAGAAGGTTGTGGGTTCGCTCCCTGATGGGGCCAGACTTTTTTTTACAGAAATGACATTGGTTCCCAGTTTGAACCAGCCTTGAGTGGGTAGCAGGCCTGGAAAGTAAAGGCGGACGGCGTGATGCTGACCACATCACCCATCAAGTGCTAATTGGTCTATAAAAAAAATAGGTCTAGCCCTATATGCTCAATACGCCTTAAGGTGTGAAAAAGGTCCTTTACTTTTTGTGATCTAAAGTTATAGGTTATCATCATCATCACTCTTGACTTTTAAGAAACTGTTACGGAACATAATGTGTGGTATTTATAATTCTTTTCTTATGGTCACTTTTGAATAAAATGAGCTTTAGTGTTCTTTTTAGTTTCTTAGTAGGTACATTACATTTTATTTGCTGTTTTTTTTCCTCATGTTGGAATAAATACTTTCTGCAATCTCGTAATTGTTTCAATATTGCACATATTGAAATGTTCATTTATCATCCTGATATGCTGTGCTCTGTCCTGTTGTGTGTTTTCAGTCTTGTGTATGGAGTCTCTGGTCTCTCAGTGTGTCAGAGTTCCTGTTAGACATCCTCACTTCCTCAGGACATTTGTTTCTTATTTCAATGCCTGTTTTGGGACCCCATATTTGCTGAGAATATTTGTTTAAAAGTATAATCTGAGGCGAAACTGTCTAGAAAATGAAAGTTGTATTTAAATGCACGTCAGAAAGGTTTCCCCAAATCCTTCCATCAGTACACATTTTTTATATACAGTGCAAATTTGACATAGGCTTAGAGCAATTTAGCAGTTAAATTAAACAAAACTGGCACACTATAAGTTCACCTTAATAAATAATAAGATGCCTACCTCAATTAAAATAATTTGAGCGTTTTCAATACTTGAAAAGCTTGAAAACAATTTGTATATAATTTTATTTTACGTTTGTACCAAATGTCAGCTTCTACAAGGGCCTTGTTCCCCTGTGGGCTCGCCAGATCCCCTACACAATGATGAAGTTTGCTTGCTTTGAGAGGACAGTGGAAGCCCTATACAAGTTTGTGGTTCCCAAACCACGATCTGAGTGCACCAAGGCTGAGCAGTTGGTAGTTACATTCGCTGCAGGTTATATTGGTATGTATGGTTTTCTTCTTGATTTTTTAAAGTATGTATTGAAGTGATCTGATTATATTTCTTAATGGTTGAAATAATTTGGGTGTGGATCAGGAAAGATATTGGAGTGAAATAATTACAGTTCATTAAAGATATCAGGATAAAACAGGCACAGTATAATAATGATATTAGAGTAAAATAAATACACTTAAATAGTTGTTGAGTTGAGTCAAGAATTGATATCACAGCACTCGGGGGCATTCCCATGCATGCTCCATCCTCATCTTCAGCAGCCAGTGCAGAGTTCCAATACTGATGGTACCAGTCACAATCTGGTTATATGTCCGTCCGTCTTGTCTTTCCTCTTAGTGTAGTGAGCTGGCCAGACCCTCTGGTTACACCCAGATGCCTCATTTTCTCCAGGCCATAATAATCTTCTATCTCTACTGATTCCATTGCTTGTTTCCATAGGGCATACCCTTTAATAAAGATATGAAGTAAATAAGTACAGTTTAATAAAGATATTGGAGTAAAATAAGTACAAAATAGTAAAGATGTTTTAGTAAAGTAGTATAAGTTATTAAAGATTTTTCTTTGTGGGTGCGAGGACCCTATTTTGGGGAACAAAATAGACCCACTGCTGCCCTCTAACTAGCATGCATGCGAGAGGCGACTATTGTGGGATGTTTTCTTTGAAGTCTGAGTGCATCTGCCTGAAAGGAACCAACAGTCTGCGATATATAAGCGAGATCTGTAAAACAGCTGTGCATGTATAACTCAAGTTCTGCAGCAAGACAGAATTTCAGAGGTGGACAAACAGCTAGGGCTTTCCACCGGGGTTTACGGCCAGTGAACACCAAGAAAAAGAAGATTAAAAATATAGAAGTAATTGGGCACATTTCGGGGAATGTATATAGCAGCAGTTACAAAGCAGTAGAATTTAAGGACAGCTATAGAGTTTTAGTGAATGTATACCTGTGATATGTTTACATTTCCTTGATTCTTACACGTGAAGCAAGTCCAGCAGAAGCAGTTCCCATTTAACTTGCTATATTGAATGATCTTTCATGTTCTGAATTTGCCAGGCAATTGCATGACTTGTTTTTTTTTTTCTGTTCCCAGCTGGTGTCTTCTGTGCCATTGTATCTCACCCAGCTGATACCATTGTGTCCAAGCTGAATCAAAAGAAGGGAAGCAACTTTGTAGATGTTGCAAAGTCTCTGGGACTTCTTGGTAAGTACATTTCTTCATCTCCTCCTCCTCCTTTTTCTTCATATCCTTCTCCTCCGCCTTCCACTTCTTCCTCTTTCTCCTCCTCTTCTTCCTCTTCCTCCTTTTTTATGTGTTCCTCCAGTTATCTCATTGAAGTGTTTAGGAGAAGATACAAAGGTTGGCTCTCCTCTGAATAATGGTCCTAAATTATTGAGTCTATGTACATTTTCAGTCATATGTAAATTGCAGACTCCTTTCCCGCAGTAAACCACGGCAAAAGTAGAATTAATTTCCGGCAATAAGTTTGCAAAACACAAAAATTATCACCAGGGTAGGCAGACCATCACCTCTGACACTGGGTCCTAGGTTTAACTTCTCCCCTGGGTTCTAGGTTTAAATTCTTCCTTGGGTCCTAGGCTTAACTTCTCCCCTGGGTCCTAGGTTTAACTTCTCCCCTGGGTCCTAGGCTTAACTTCTCCGCTGGGTTGTAGGTTTAACTTCTCACCTGGGTCCCATGTTTAATTTCTCCCCTGGGAACTCCTATGTCAGGGTTGAGGCCTCTGACCCGTGACGATCCCCATTTTCAAAATTTTGGCCCTTGAGTTAATTTAATTAAGTAGCCCTATCCCAGGATATTATCTTGTAATCATTTTGAGCCATACTGATCTGGCAGCTAAGATCAGTTTTTAAAAAGTTCAAAAACAAAATCTCAATTTGGATTTGACCCTTAGATCTTCGGGCCGCCAGGAAGGTGTCTAGCAGCGCTCTTGCAGGGTGAACAGCTGTTCTGAGGAGAGACCTAGCTTTATCAAATGAAATCAGGTGCAATGAAGTGGACTTATACTTCAGGGCTATTCAGCTGGCCGCCTGTGGGCCAAATGTGTCTCTGAGCAAACTTAGTCAAATATCCCTGTTATGCATGCATTGACAAGTTTTAATTTTCATAACCAGTGATTACTGTGTGTGTCCTTGTGAGTAGATTCTGACATGATATTGTTTTTTTTGTTTTGTTCCCTCCACACAGGCATGTGGAAGGGACTGTTCCCCAGGATCATCATGATCGGCACCCTGACCGCCCTGCAGTGGTTCATCTATGATTCTGTCAAGGTGGCATTCCGCCTGCCCCGTCCACCACCACCAGAGATGCCGGAGTCTCTGAAGCGCAAGCTCGGGCTCAATTGATGATGCACTCTTGTGTAGTTTGTTCTGGTCATTAGGTACTGAGGTGCATAGTTTTTGAAGTCTTACAGTCCTGGACACTAAAATTGCATTTATGACCCGGTTGCTTTAAAATTATTTTGTGAGTTTATTCACAGGTATGCGTATGCATTTTAAATGTTACAGTGCAGTAATTAGTAGTGTTTTACCATAAAATTAGACTTTAAACAAAAGTGACAAACATTTGTTGACTTTGACTGAAAACTCGACATAGCAGATGAAAGTAAAACTTAATTTTGAAGGGCTTCATCTAAATTATACTGTAATAATGAGATCACAGAAAGATATGTTTGTGGTAATGTTGAATGGAACAAACATTTTTTTTTTTCTGTTTAGGGAGCCGTGAAAATGTAGATTAATTAAACACATGGACACTCGGTAGAAAGACAAACAAAAATGTTTAATTCACCAAAATAAAGTATTAATGAATTACACACAGACAATCATTAAGTGATATGTAAAAGCAGTCCTGACACATTTCTCTTCTCGTATATTTTTGTTAATTTTTGGGAAGCCATGTTAGTTGTAAGAATGATAACTTATTCTGTGGGCACGTAATGAGAAAGGGAAAACTGATATACATATATATATAAAATGACAGCAGGAAAGTTGGATGGGGAGAGAGGCGGAGGAGAGGAATGTTGGTCAGTTTGATATCCTTATTTAACAAAAATGATAATACACAAGACAGAAGGTTGTGAATAGATATAACCCCCACACAACATAGACTATTGGGGGAAAAAATGGAATTCCTGTAACATGGCTGTTTTCTTTCATTCAGTTTACTATGGTTGCTCACTTTAAAAGCGTCTGTGAATATAGTGACACAAACAGATATCGTGTTAATATATTGGATTTTGTTGAATTTTTACATAATGTATATCAGAAACTAATGTGACAGGTGCAAGAACCAATTTTTGTCACGGTGTCCCAGTGCTTCGATAACCCAGTCCTTATTTTCGTCGAAGAAAATGTATCTATATTTTGAAGTATTAACTTTACGTGCATGGTCATGTAGTTAGAGTATTTTTACGTTTGTGTTTTTGACAGTTGTGTAGCTGTTAGCCACGAGCATCATGCTTCACATACAAGTTGTTGGCTTGTTGTAGGGAGCCCCATAGAGGCAGTCCTGCACAGGCAGATGGCATTAATGTATGTAAAATGTCGGTAGTAGAAATTGGGGACACTGCATTTCATTGTGTGCATACAAACGACTTGAGACTGGTGTGTGTGTGAAGATGGGGCAGTCCAATTTAACTTATAATAAACAAGCAGTGTTATTTTGAGCCATTTGGGTATTTGTTTGTTTGTTGGTTGTTAGTTTGGTTGCTTGTATGAGGTTTGTAGGGTTAGTATGTGCTTGCTGTGTCTCTCTCTCTCTCTCTTTCTCCTTTCTCTGTCTCGTCTCTCTCTCTCATCTAAATCTTTCTCTCTGCTTTATTTCTTTCTGTCTGTTTTCTTTGTTTTGTCTTTTCCAGTCTCTCAGTTTATGTGTTTGCTGTATATTTTTAAATCTCTCTCTCTCTCTCTTCTATCTCTCTCTTTAAAAAAAAACAAACTTTCCCATGGTCTGTCTTCTCATCTCCGTTTTCTCTGTCTCTCTCTCTCTCTGTCTTCTTTGCTCTTTTATCTATGTCTTTCTCATCTCTTTCTGAATGTCCTGTCTCTTTCTGTCTTGCTTCCACGCATTCTTCCTCTACATATTTATCTTCTTCATCTCTATTTTGATTTAATTTTAATACTTCTTATGAAACCTAATTTGAGTTAAGGTTAGTTGCGTATCCTTTACAGGACGTTGAAGAACCAACCCTAAGACTCCCTGGCTGTTTTGTGGTTTTTCTAGGCAAATTTACGTCCAGTAGTTTGTCGCTGCTTTCTGGACGGTCGGCTGTCTTGATACCACTCAAAACCAACGCAAGGCGCATGGCCTGCAGCTGGGATCTAACCGGGCATCCCAGCATTACGAAGCGTTTGCATCGACTTACCTAATTTGAGTGAAACATTGAAAAGTTATCAGTAGGTATCCAGTGACACAACTGGGAAGTTAACATTATGAAGTGGGTGACCAGTAGTGCGAGAAAGTGTGCAGACCATGCAAGAGACATTGCAGATCAACCTTGAATGTGGAGAGGGTACTTGAAATACGCCACTCTCCCAGAGATGAAACATATATACATATTTGCCCCTGGCTTTATGATAACATCACTACAGCTAACAAGTGAACAACAGATCTAGTTTTGTTTCTTCTTTGTTCATCTTTTACTGCTTCAGGTGTCAAGGAAGATATACACTTCAGCTTCTTGTTCTTCTTGACTATAGACATGTTCTGTGAAGAGTTTCTCTGATGTTGTCTATCCCTTTATTCTTGGTCTACCTCATGCTTTGTGTCCATGTCCTCCTATGGCGTTTTTTTACGGCGTCATGGGGCATGCTTTGTGAGTGGGCATCATTTTTGTGTGTTGGTCTTTGTATGTAGTTTAAAATTGTTACGGTGCTAATTTGTTTTTCTCTTAAAACTCCATTCCTGATTTGATCTCTTCTGGTCACTCTTTCAGCCTTTCTGAAACATCTCATTTGTATGGTTATTAATTTTCTCTTGTTTGTTGCAAGTGACCTCGGCTGACACTGGTAGCTACTTTTTGCTTTGCCTATTATTTTAATTGTTAGCTTTCTCGAATGTGTTGGTGGACCCCATTTGTTGGGGAGGGATATAGACCCACGGCCTCCTAACAAGCATGTTGTAGAAGGCAACTATTTGGGGGTGTTTCTTTCAAAGTTGGTATATGTGCCTGCGAGGCAAAAGAACCAGTAGTCTGCATACAGATAAGTTAGATCTGTAAAACAGATGTGCACTCAAAACTAGATTGAAGTCTGAAGCAAGGCAAAAGACCAGAAGTGGACGAACGACCAAAGCTTTCTGCCGGAGTTTGCAGCCAGTGATAGCTAAGAACAAAAGATTGTTAGCAAATGTGTAAACTTATTTAATGATCAAATATGTATGTATCTTATTCAATTGACGACTTGCCAGACAATGAGAACCGTCATTATTTAGCGGCAAGACGCTCGAATGTGGATTGAAAGGTCGTGGGTTCCCATCTTGACGGAGGCATATTTTTTTCTTCAAAGAAGACCTTGGCTTTCAGGTCAACACAGCCTTGAGTGGGTATTAGGTACACGCCCGGGAAGTAGGGGCGGCCTTTGTGATTCTGACCACATCACCCACCAATAGGTCTAACCCAATACGCCTAAAGACGCGGAAAAGAGTCCTCTTTGCCACACCATCGGCTCCCAAAAATAATCGAGGAGGGTGAGATACAAGAAGATAAGACGCTCTCATAGTGGCCCAGAACAAGACAAAAAACTCCAAGAACACGCTAGAGGCATCACTTCTTCTTTTTTCTTTTTTTTTTCTTCCACCCTGTACCTCAGCGAAGTGTCCGGGGGAGATGTAACATTCGTTGATTAGCTCTGCCAAGAGCACTATTATGACTGATGTTCATTTCTGTAAGGCTGTTCTGAATGCCATCACTCCATATTTTCCGAGGTCTTCCACTCGCGCTGTACTCGTTATAACGTTTTAGTGTGGCTTGCTGTGGCAGATAGAACATTCTTGTTAGGTGTCCACACCCATTCATTTGTTGTTCTTTCATGACCTGTAAGACTGGCGTTCTTCTTAGCATTCGTCTGATTTCGTTTTCTGTCTCTCCTTGAAACTCCTGCAGCTCTTCTAAGGCATTTCATCTCTGTTGTCACAATTTTACGTTCATTGGAGGATGTAAGTCTCCACGTTTTGCACTCATGAAGACATCACTTGAAGCCCATAATATAGACCACCCTGCTACGGGAGGCTGCTGCACAAAACCGGACTACATTGCAAACGGCTATCCAAAAAGGGGACAGCGACCTGCGAGGCTTTAAGAAAAGGGGCAACTAAACAAGTCTAGAAAAAACCCGTAAAATATACCTTTTACATAAAGACACTAGGAGTCACTGTGGCGTGCCGGCTAGACGCTTGCCCTATATACCCAATAAGCCTGAAAGATGTGGAAAGGGGTCACTTACTTTTACATACAGACATTGTTCCGTGCACTTATTGTCCTAGATTCTTATGTTCCCGTCTTTTTCTTATACGTCACCTCCGGACTCGCAGAACTTAGCTATAGTTTCCTGACGGATGCAAGAAAGAGTGGTTCTCATCCCTTATGATGGACGAACAACCAACATCTTTTTTAAAATTAATTTTGAGCAAAGTGTATTAAGTAAGAAGATATAAATATTGGCATCGTAGTAGATAACATACTGCGATGATTGCGACACACAGAGGGAATGACAGATAACAGACATAAACTGCGTACACTGAAGACTCGACCGGCAGGCCAAGCAGAAGGAGGAGACCGACCTATAAACACAATGTAACAGCCTGGAAACATACGGTTCAGCAGCCTAAAGATCTTGAATTTATTCTGGTTTGAAAATGGCCAACAGGCCAAAGGAGAAACATTACCATTTATTAGTGTTAGACGATAACACGAGAAAAATCTGACCACAGAGGTATTTAAAGACCGGACTGACAGATCTTCTCCATCCTCGTAAATGATCTGGCGGAGGCCATAGGGGAAAAAAACGTCAAGTTATCACAGTACGCTGACGACTGCGCCATCTGGTGCTCAGATTCAAACCTAGAGCTAGCCAGAAACCAGCTACAGAGGGCAACCAACAACGTAACAAGGTGGATGGAGAAGTGGGGATTTCGTATTAACCCAATCAAGACCACCCAGATGATTTTTAACTGGAAAAGAGTACGGACGTACGAAGACTTTGACACCCGCATTGAAATAGACGGCCAAAGAATACCGAGAATACACAAACGACATTTCTGGGAATGTTGCTCGATTCCCAAATGAGCTGGAGTCGACACATCGAACAAACTGTCGCAAGATGTAAGAGTAAAAACAACCTGCTAA